CCCTTCATTATGATCAAGCAATTCTTCGTGAAGGCTGATGCTGCATATGTTTATCCAGAAGTATTTCCCGATGAGTTCAGCTAGGCTTGCTGCCAAACAGGTATTCAGCCTTAGAGTAAATATTAGTAAATCTTTAATAATATGTAAAAAGAAAAACAAATGCAAAACAAGTGTTTTAGTGAACTGATGCTGCTGGTTGGGCTAGCTATCTGGAAAGTTTGTTTGCTGAAGTGACACAAGGACAGTCTGAAGGGCAAAGTTGAAATGCAGTATTTGCAGACAAAACGATAAGAAAAAAGGTCTTGTAGGTGTTCAGCAAGATCATACCCCTGACTCTTGCTTGATGTGGCTCTTGAAGAACATTTAGCAAACAACCAAACTTTGCCAATAATGTTTCCCCATAAAAGCAGCTTATGGACAAATGTTGCACACCCTCAAAGAATGTGTGCTTTGACTGAAGTCTCAGTGGAAGCAAAGTAGTCTAACCCTTGACCCTGTATATGTGGGATTGGTTGTTGAACTCTAATCCTTGGCCCTAGTCAAATCTGTTTCTGAACAAAACCATGGCTTAGTGCAGACAAGCAAACATGCAGCTTCCCGGAGAATATCTCAGCTGCTCTGTTCCTCTTACAGTGTGGCTGCTATTGCAATGCTGTGAGCTATGCCATTGTTTGGCTTGGGTCTCATCCACGCCATACATTTAATGTTACCGGAAAAAATAAAGAAGAAATACACAAAGAAATGAACCAACCAACGTCTTAATTTTCAAACCCTTTATTGTTTAATAGTAGTATAAGCATACGCCCGTAGATAAGGGCTGTACAACGTAGCATACAGTACAGCGATCCCTTGACTTTTGTTATTTTGACAGCTGCTTGCGAGGCAGCGCCCCCTAACAAAGACTACGCAGGTACTGCAGCTGTCAGACGCTGTAGCTGTCAAACCACGTACCTGCAATTTCCACCCTCCCTTCCCCACAGGTGGGCGGGGTTGGCGGCACCGAGCGGGGGCTCACCTGGGCGGGCGCCTCCCACCTCCTTGGGCCAGCCTTTGAACCATCCCCGGCCAGGGAGGACAATGGACAGCTGGCCGGGTTTAGCGCCTGTGCCCGAAAAAGCAGCTAAGACTTGCAGAGGAACCCTGCTGAGAGTCAGTGAAAGTGTGAAACTCACTTGCAACATTGTATCTAACCTTGTTATTTTGTACCCAGTAGATCCGTAGTCTATTTTTTATAGTCTAAAGCTTTAAAGTTCAATATAAAATCACGTTTGTGATAGATTTTCACCATTCCAACGGCGCTTTGCTCAGGGAAAAGATGGCAACTAGAGGAGGAAGGTGAGGCCTGGGGTAGCCATACCCACCCCCCCAGGCATATGGTCACGTACCCCTGCCCATACTCGATAGGTGCTAAGTCTCACCTTCCTGACTCTGGAGTGCCAGACTCAAACCCATTCTGAGAACAATAACCAACTGGTTTCAGTACTGGAATACTGGGAGAGACAATGAGGGGTATTTGACTTGGCCGGGAAGACAGGGATTGCTGGTATCACCTGTCTCAACTAGTGCCAGGGATGCCAACTATCCCTGATGGACAAGGCATCAGTTTTCAGCCAAGATGCTACTCCTAGTTTGTGACATATGTGTGACGATTTCAATGTGGGGTTATGGAGGATCTGGAAAACTTTTAAAAGAGGGTTTCACCCTTTGTTCAGGGCTTCTGTCTGTATCTCCTATGTTGACGTTTGGAGTCATTGTTGCAACAATAAAGATCAAGCCCCTTGGCTGCTGTTTCGCTTCTATATGCTGGCTATAATCTTTGTCTGACTCTCCAACCTGAACCTGCAGAACTTTTCAGCAGTGTTAAAGCACTCTTAAAGGTAAAGGTAAAGGGACCCCTGACTGTTAGGTCCAGTCGCAGACGACTCTGGGGTTGTGGCACTCATCTCTCTTTACTGGTCTAGGGAGCCGGCGTACAGCTTCCGGGTCATGTGGCCAGCATGACTAAGCCGCTTCTGGCAAACCACAGCAGAGCATGGAAACACCGTTTACCTTCCCGCCGGAGCGGTACCTATTTATCTACTTGCACTTTGATGTGCTTTCAAACTGCTAGAAGAGGAGGTTAAGGGGTGATATGATAGCCATGTTCAAATATATAAAAGGATGTCATATAGAGGAGGGAGAAAGGTTGTTTTCTGCTGCTCCAGAGAAGCGGACACGGAGCAATGGATCCAAACTACAAGAAAGAAGATTCCACCTAAACATTAGGAAGAACTTCCTGACAGTAAGAGCTGTTCGACAGTGGAATTTGCTGCCAAGGAGTGTGGTGGAGTCTCCTTCTTTGGAGGTCTTTAAGCAGAGGCTTGACAACCATATGTCAGGAGTGCTCTGATGGTGTTTCCTGCTTGGCAGGGGGTTGGACTCGATGGCCCTTGTGGTCTCTTCCAAATCTACGATTCTATGATTCTATGCTAGGTTGGCAGGAGCTGGGACTGAGCAACGGGAGCTCACCCCATGGAATTGTAGCTCTGTGGAGTTCTCAGGATTCTTTGGGGGAAGTCATGACTCATAGTGTTATAAATATGTTTTAAATACATGGTGTGGATATGACTGTAGCATGAAATAGGTACATTTTTTATCTCCCCACCCCACCCCCTGCCACCCACAAAGCACAAAAAAGGCAACTGAACAAACCTTGGCGCTGTTCATAGTTTGTCTGGGATGAAATAAAACACAAGTCCAGGTCCAGATTTAATGCCAGCACCCTTATGAAAAAAGATTACAGCGTCTGGGACTTTTTGGTTTAGAAAAAGGTTGAGTAAGGCTCCATCCACATTTACCAATGCTCTACATTTCTAGGCTTTCCAGGTCTGTGTCAGAGTGTTTTGTTTTCTTTTCCCCCAACACTTTCTCCATAAGAAAGTGCTGTTCTTTGCTGCTGAATTGAAGCAAACAGTAATCCACAGAAAACTTGAATTGCCATTTGCTCCAAATCATTGGTAGATATTGGGTCTTCCTGGGAAAAATGGGAGAGGGGGAGAAAGTGCTCATACACAGACCAGGAAAGCGCAGGCCTATGCACTTATAACAGAATAATTTTAAAAAAACATAACGAGACATCAAACATTAAAAACTCCCAAAGGCGGGGGCTGTGTACCCTTTTATCCCAGCCTCACCTTTGTTGGTGAGACTGTGATCAAGGGGCTTCGAAGAAGATGCTGGACTATGAGTTCTTCAGAACATGAAAGCTTAAAAAGATTGTGGCTTCCACATGACAGGATGCTTCCACGTAACAGTTTATTCTGGACTTGGTGCATGTATGTAAGCTTTGCACAGCAGCCACATAACTTTTGTCTTCATCAAAATGCTATCCCATATTCTTTCTTCATTAGACCTGGTGTGAAGGATCACCAGGGACTGCCCTGCTCTGTGCTTCTATCTTGTGAATATGCAGGTGAGCAAGGCTTGCTGATGGAGATCAGCTGAGAAACAACCCTGCAACCAAACAACCATTTCTCTTCCTTGCAGTGGGACCTGATGAGACAAATAAGAAAGGGCTGGGTGAGGGAAACATACAGCTGTTGGCAATGGGGTTCTATGATCCTTATAAATGAGGAAGAGGGTGGGGAAGGACTGTGGCCTAAAGTTCCAAAGCCTAGGAAAGAGAAGGTGCTGCAGAGGAGATCAAGGGGCTGATAGACCACAGAGCAAGATGAGGTGTTCAGACAATGCCAGAAAACGGACCCTAAGAGGAGCTGCTGGGGTGGTAAGTACATACAAACAACTGAAGCAATGAATCTGGATTAAATGAGGGGAGGAAGAAATATGGGATGCTATTTTTAATGAATATAAAGTCATGTGATTGTTGCAAACAAACAAGCAAACTTGCGTGTGTGAGTTGCACCGAGGCCACAACAAACTATGTGGAAACACCCAAGGCCTATCTAAACAGTACTTGCAGAAGTTCTAATGTATACAGAACACACACTTTACATGTGGTTAATGTATCAGATCATCTCACAAAAAGATCTTGCACTAAGTTTCCGCTATCTGTTTGAAGCAGAGGTAACCCATCTCTGAGTGTGCAGTTGACTAGCGCTGTATGAAATTCAGAGATACCAGAAAGATACAAAATGATGACTGAGTGCTGGTGCTGTGCTATCATACAGCACAGCTGGGTAATTTTCCTGCCTCATCCGGAAACTGTTTTCTTGGTGGTTTGGCTTGCTTTCATTTCAGGTTATGCTATTTAATCTTAAGAGCAGCAGCAACTTTTTATGTTTTGAAAATGGGAGTCAGACAAGAACCTTTCTGGTCCCTGGTTATATTGCAATACAGTACAGTTTGAGGCACGTTTAGCAGGCCTGTTCCAAAGCCGCCAAGTTCTACACGTTTCATTGCATAATCCATAGGAGCCAACTCCTAGGGGCCAGAGGTCCCTTTGCCCCCCATAAAAACATTTGAGGGGGCCAGGCATGGATGTAGAGGCGCTTTGTTGGACGGGGGCGGGGCGGGCAGAACCGAGATCTATAGCATGATTGGTCAGTTAATTAAAGACTTTATTTATTTACTGGATGGAGGGGCAGTTGCACCCCCTTGGCTGCCCCCCCCAATAAAGTGGATGGGTATTGCCATTCAAATAGTGCATGTGTGCGGCATCATGTGATTGATTATGCAGGGTGGGGCTTACCTGCGCGGCGCAGACCCCACCCCTATCCCCCAGTATTTTATTCAAGTGTGCACCCCCCTGCCAGAAATTCTTTTAAGATCTACTGACAGGGCAGTAATGCCACTTGTGTGTAGCATACGTAGGGACGGGCGAAATTTGTCCATTTCGGTTCATCTGAGTTTCCAGTATTAAATCATTTCTACATCTTCTTGAAGTGCTTCTAAATGGAATGTGTGTGTGTGTGTGTGTGTGTGTGTGTGTGTGTACAAACAAAATTAATTTGTGCGCGTGTGTTTGTGCGCGTGTGTGCGCATTCCCACGTTACGCGCGTTTCAGTCTCGGCCAACACGTTTCGCTGCCGGGAAGAGGAAGACTTTGAGGTTGTTGTTGTTGTTTTTTTACTTAAGCCTGACTCTTTTTATCTGTACCGCGTTAGGCCCCGCCCCTCCATCTAGGTGGCCGACCGAGAGGCCCTATCGGCGCTTGTGGCAGCAGCAGCCGCCTCAGCAGCAGAAGGAACCGGAGCAGAGCGAACTACGACCGCCGCGCGAGAGGCGGACGCCCGGCTCCTATCACAGCCGCCGCTGCCGCAGCAGCCGCCGCCAACAACATGGTGAAGATCTCTTTCCAGCCGCCCTTCGCCGGCAAAGACCAGTCCAAGAAGGAGGCGGCCGAGGTGCTGGTGGCCGACAAGGTGAGCGCGGGTCGAAGCTGCGACGTCGGCCCGTAACCGGCCGCCCTTTAATCTCCCTTCCCCCACCGGCGCCATTTTGTGGTGGCGGCGGCAGCGGAACGGGAATTAGAAGGGAAGTAAAAACACACGACGGAGAGTGCGGGGGGGGGGCGCGCATCGGGAGCGCTCCCTCCACCAGCACTTGCACCCCAATAACGCATCTTCGGGGAGCAAAATAATGGCGCCGCTGCCTTGGCGAAGGCCTCTTTAACCCCAAAGGCAGCCCCATTCCTAAGCCTCCCTTGGCCGCTTCAGAGACCGGGTCCTGTCATCTGTAGCCGGACAGCTCTTTCGCCTTTTCAGACACACACCCATCTGCCCCCCCCCTTATTTAAACCCATTTCGCAATCGGCAGGTGCCTTGGATCCATAGCTGTCAACTTTTCCCTTTTCTTGCGAGGAATCCTATACAGAATAAGGTGATTTCCCTTTTAAAAAAAGGGAAACGTTGACAGCTATGCTTGGATCAGGCCGCGGACCCCCCTAGCTTTTCTAGCCCGCACCTGCATTAGGCGCGTATAACGTGTGTGATAATAATAATAATAATAATAATAATAATAATAATAATAATAATACACGACAGCCCCTGCCTGCAGACTCATACTCCCAAAAAAGACGACACCAAAAAAGAGAGAGGAACTGATAGTGACAGTGGTGGTTTTAAGGGTAAGGGGAGAATTAATGCTGCTGCTGCTGCTGCTGCTTGTGATTTGGATTGCAAAGCTGCCTTGAGTGTATGTGAAATTTAAGTAATAGTTGCTGGGTTTTTTAATAACAACAATAGCATTAAAACATATTTTCTCCTGCGTTTGACTGGGTGTAGTGTGCTGGTTTGTGACTCCCTTAGTCCAACACTTGCAACCCAGCAGTGGTTTAGTTGTGGAGTAGCCTGCTGCAAGCATCCCAGACACTGCACCTTATAAAAGGATGCTGGTGTTCCATAACACAATGGTATGGCAGATGCTTTGCATGAAGAGGCTGCCAGGTTTTAATCCCTTGCCTCTCCAGCTACATAAAGGATCTCTGCTAGCATGTGCAAGACATTTGTCTGAGATCCCGGGACACAGTAGTTTAAGCTGACATTGATTCTAAGTCCACCGGTTAAAAGTGCAGAAGTAGGTCACACCCACACATGTAAGGGGGGGGGACGTTGCACCTGTGTAAATGTACCTGTTCATTATGGGGGTTTCTACTTTGCCTTTTAAACAACTTATCAGTGTGCCTACCCAAAATATATACATCAGAGTACACATATGGGTAGTGTTGAATGAGCCCTAGGCAAGTGGGGGTAGGATTTGAGCATAAGTCTTCCACTTCTTTCAGGTTCTGGAGCCCTCTCAAATGCATTAGGGGACCACTTCTATTCTTCTTTTAAACAGGCTTCTTTTAAAGCCTGTTTCATAGTTGCCCTAAGTGTTGTATTGGTGGGTTTTGCTTATTTACATTAGGATAGCTAGTGTCTGTCTTTTTCTGGCCAAATGCTCTTTTTTGTGTTTTCCTGCACAAAAGTTGTGACTCATTCTCAATTTAAAGAAGTGGTTGATTGACAGTGCATATGTTTGTGCATGATTGCATTTGGAAATGGTTGCAAACATGTACTGGGGAGCAGCAGGCAGTTGAAGAACACCACATTGTGACACAAATACTTGCTTCACTTGCGATAGCTGTGTGCCATCTCTTACTTTGTAGCTTGTAAAGCAACCTTAATTGCCTCGGTACTAACAGATCTCTGCTTTATCCTCATGTTGGAAATAGCTACACTTCCATTGCAGGATAGATCCGGGTAGTGGAAAGCTGGTTGATTGTAGATCCCATGTGATCACTGAATATTTTAAATCCTTAATTTTCAGTAAAATCCACAATGCATTAGAAACTAAATGCAAGCTCTTAATAACATAATCTTAAATTTGGCCTTCTATCCCTGCCCATTTTTACCTGGGAGAAAGCTCACTAAATGCAGCGTGGCTTGTTTCTGATGAAAGATGTACATTTGATTGGTTTGCAGATATGTCTTGACTCTGATGGAGAGTTCATGCCTAAATTTGAGGCATGTGAAGGCCTAGTTCCAAAACTTTTGAGTTTTCATTTATACAAAAGTGTCTCAACATTACAGGTGATCCATATTTTATGGTTCTAAGCATATTTACATGGAAGCAAAATCTACAGAAGGCCCCAATATTTCCCTTAGCAAAACATAACAAAGATAACCATCACATGCATCCTCCTCACCCAAGAGGAGTCTGACTAGACAACCTTGCCTAGTTTCCTGTCTAGTAGTCAAAAAAACAGGTATGAGTGGTGCATAAATAGAATCCTTTCAAACATCAAATGGAAATGTTGCTTTGTTTTCACAGATGTTTCCTCTCTTCTTACTTTCATTTTAGGTGAAATAATTGAACTGAAATGTGCCTGAACCCTTATTTCCTACAAATTTCCAACAAGTGGCAGACCTGCTTTTTCTAGTGTTACAGTTCACTTTTCTCATAAAGCAAAAGCATTATGAGAAATTTGTTTTGCAATTCAGCATTTGTATTGGCATAATGATTCAGAGGGTGGAGGCTACTGATGACTAGCAAAGTTTATGCAACATCCCCGGTTTGGTTCCTGATAACCAGCCAAAGAACCTCTTGGAGCAGAGAGTCTGGGAAATATTTCTTTGTGAGCCTTTAGGAGATGCTGCTAGGCAGGCTTGTAATACACATGATAGGTACAGACCTGTCTTCAAATGTTGGGTTACTATGTAATCTCTGTAAAGCAGTGGTACAATGTAATGTGCCAAAAGGATGCAATGTGCCAAAAGGTACTCTCCGCCCCCACATTCAGTCCCTCAAAAATTTCCCAGTCAGGTTATAGACTATGCATAACTAATTTTCATGTCTTTCTCTAATGTTATAAATCACATATTCTACTCCCACCTCTAGACAGGACTGCAGCAGACATCCAATTGGCCTGGATCTGCCACTGATTTGTGTAGTTGGACCAATAGTCTGCTGAATAGACAATATTGGGCAAGTTATAAGGCAGCTTCATATGTTTAAACATGCAACTATTAGTACTATAATGAAATTTGGCAGGTAGTTACTTGAAAAGAATGAATTGCTGTTTGGGATTGTGAGATTAGCCAATTAATGTGCAGGCTCACTTGTTATTAAGTATCAAGAAGACATGCATGACAGTTCTTTGGGCAGAAAGGAAATACTGTTGTGGCTGTTAACATTCTAATACTAATTTTGCTATTTACTGCAGAATGCTATTTTATTATCTGCAGTCTTGCAAAACTTATACTTGAACATACAGTTTTAACATTTTGAACTGTCTAACATTGCATAAGAGTCTAAGGTCGAGTTTATTGCTTTCTGATTTTTTTTCTGGTGGGCTAGGGGCGCAACTGTTTGTGTATTATCCTGTGTCTGGCACATTCAGAAGAATGTTTAGCTTTCCAGCTTCAGGGTTGTTCCCCACCCTGCAATTCAGTGAGTTCCTTGCAAAAAGGGAAGGGCTAAAAAGAGATGATTGTAAATATTTTGGTTTTGGTGTTACTAATATTGGGATTTTCTGTAATACATGAAGTTGAATTAAACCAGGCTTTGACTGGAATAAAATATATATTTGTGCATGAAATTAAATTGTCTTGATCTTTGCAATAGTACATGAGTAGTTGTCCCAAAAGCTGATGTGGAAATAACCAGTGTTGCTAGTAATTACTTGTGAACTGTGCAGGAACAGTACATTTTATGATTGTACAGGTAGCACATTGGTGCCTGCTCTTTTCTTCGTTTACACTGGATCAGTTAAAAGGCAGGTTACAACTTGACCACGGTGCCTGACTCCGGATTTTTGAAGATGCTTGGCTTCAACTAAATGACATAATTGAAGCTGGAAAAAGCATATTTAATTTTAACATGCTAGCATCAGATTTCAAGATGCTTGAGCAAACTAGTGAAGAAATCTTCCTGGCTTGTATATACACAGCTGAACACTTGATGAAGTTAACTACATGTAGAGCAGAACTGAAATTATATTAGACAATTATATGGATTCTGAAACTTTAGAACCCAAGCTACTTGCTTACTAAAAGTGCAAATATGTTTTGGCTGTTAGTATTGCCCCCCCCTTTTTTTAAAAAGCCACATATCTAGCACTGTTAACTGGCAAAATTGCTTCAACAGCATATTAGGTTCTCGGAGAACTAGAATATTATTTGCATAGTAGAAGTTCAGAATCTGCTGATGCTTCTTTTTCGATAGTTTATAACTTGCTGTTCCTCTTCTAAATATGAGGGTGGAGAGGTAAGCAGGAGGAATGTCTCATCTTGCCAACCCTTTGAATACTTTCATAGTCCTACTGTACTGATTATTTGAGTGGACAAAGATCCTTGAAATCGGTTCAACATCTGAATTTCCTGTTTTAAAACTCAGTATTTTTTAAAAATATTGCAAACGCCACACTGAAACCTCTCAGCTGATAATGCTCTTGAACAAACAAGGCTAAGTATGCATGTCATTGAGTCATACTGCTTTTGTTTTTAGAATTATGGAAATAATCTTCCTTTTGAAGTCACACACCTCATAAATATGATCTTGATGTTAGCAACTATGGATTGGAAGGTCATCAGAATTTTGTGGTTTTGTGTATATTTGCAGTTAACCACAACCCCTTTAAATGTTCTTTGCCATAAATATGAGCAAGGAGCAAATGGTGTTGAATAAGTAAATTGACTTTTTATAACTTTAAAGAGTTATAGAAGTTATAACTGCCAGATGTTACTGAGGAACAGCTCCAATCACCCCTGACCATTGGCCATGATGTCTGGAACTGATGGGAATTGGAGTTCAACATTTAGAATGCCACAGGTTCCCCATCCCTGCCTAACACTTAAGGAAGGATTGACTTGGAAGGGGAGGGAACAATGAGCTTAATTATGTTGAGGGAAGTTTAAAATGTGAAACCTTTATTTTTGCAGCCTAGTAGGCAAAATTCACTGTAGCATCGTTCTGTAATTTAACAGGAGGCACAACTCCATCTGTAGTTTTTTAAAGGCAATTCACTGCTTGTGTTTAAAGCAGATGTTATGGCATCCTTGTTTTAAACACAAACAAAGGGCTCAAAACACATTCCATTCTGCTATGAATGAAATATAGGTGTACTATGGCATCCTTGGGTCAAACATTTCTCAAGGGTGTTGTCTGGTACTGTTGGCTTTCACCTTGAAGTGTGGTATCATCCTGCTGAGTCAAGGTGAGGTGTAATTAGTTAAAGAAAATATTGTCTCCAAGACAACAAAGAACTTAAGTTCTCTCTCTCTCTCTCTCTCTCTCTCTCTCTCTCTCTCTCTCTCTCCTGAAGGATCCAGAAGTTGCAACACATGGGCACGAAAGTTCATCTGGAAGATGTCTGCTGATTCTTTTGGGTCTTGCGCTTATATTAGCAGGAGTGGTGGTTGGTGGAGCCTGCCTCTATAAGTACTTCATGCCAAGGGTAATGGAAATACAACTCTTCCCCCCTTTTTTTCTTTTGCAGATAAAATTGACAAATTTGATAAACATACAAAATAAGCATAATATTCCACACAGTGTAAGCATGATATGTAACTGAATTGGAATATGGGTCTAAACTTAGATCTGCACCTCAGAGCGGTGGCACTGAGGAAGCTAAGAACTTAAAAAGTGAATATGCCTAGATTCCTCTCATGTTTGTGACTGGGACAGCCAGGGTTATCTTGCTGAACTGAGGCCTCAGTCCTGGGAGCCACCATCTTGGCTTTCCCCCTTCTTGTCCTTGTACTGTGATTGGCCCCATGGGGCCCTGTGAGATCCTTGGGTCTTGCAGGATCTCGGATGCATCCTTCCCTGAAGCTTCCGTGTCTGCCTCAGTAGGACTGGCATTCTTGGCAGTTCTGCTGCTTGCCATGATTTGGGTGCCAGACTCTGCACTGAAGCATCCTGAGATGGTAAGCTGGCCTTGGACATCTTAGTGGTGTTGGGGACCAAGTCTTGTCTTCCTGCCCCCCCACCAAAATATTTTTTAAAAAATATGCAGGAAAGTTCAAAACTTTTATTTAACTGTGTGATTGTAGCAGATCTGCTATTTTCTTGAAGGACTTTGCAAACACAACTCAAACTGCTGTGAGCTTATACATTAACAGACTATATATAAGCCACATGTTCTGAACAAAGTTTAATAGACAAAACATTGAGTCAGGAGGAATTTGTGGAAATGTTTAATACAAGTATTTGTTACAAAGTGCCATCACACAATTCACACATAGAAAGTCACCTTTTCCGCTTGTCTGCACCAGTCTTGCACATATATTTTACAAGGGATTAGGTACAATTGGAATGTCATTTATTACTGTTCTCTCGTGCATCCAATGAAATGGAGAAATGCCTTCCTCTAATAAACTGAAAAGACTTAAACAAATGTGAAACAGTATCCTGTACATTTGTTCCACATTAACTCAAAAAATTACAGCATCTTTGCTGGAAAACAACAAACTTGGAAGTAATTTGTATTTCTTTGCATATATCTCTTACGCACCTCTGATTTTTTGTTGTTTTCGAACTGTAATTAAATGACTTTATTGCAACTAACAGAACCACAAAAACACTTGCCCTCATTAGATTTTTTTTTTTTTGCCCAATATTGATTTTATTTCAGGTGACACTACAGAAGTGGAAAGTCTGCTAAAATGCATTATGATTGTGGCAAACCAATGCTGGGTTATACACAGCTAAGTTATACTTGGAGTAGACCCATTGCAATTAACAGACCCAAGTTAATAATTTTAAATGGATCTGCTCTAAATAGCAGTGGATAATCTGTCCCTAAAAGAAGTCTCATAATTGATTACTGTGATTTATTTTTAGCGTGCAATGATGCGTGGGCAGATGTGTTATGCGGGAGAGGATCAGCAAGAGCAGGCAGCCGAACCCTACTTCTTGCCCATTGCTGAAGAAGCTGACATTCGTGAGGATGATAATATTGCCATCATTCAGGTTCCTGTTCCAAAATTCTCTGACAGTGATCCTGCGGCTATTGTTCATGACTTTGAAAGGGTGAGTTGTGACAAGTCTAGAACTTTCCTTTTTGAAAATTACACCATCTGTTGAGTTTTCATAATTGGCAACACAAAAAAACAAACACCCTCATCCTTCTACATCAAATAACAGAAATGATGATAGTAACAGCTAGCCTTGTTGCTTGCTTTAATTTTGGTTCACCTGGTGCAAGTTAGTACAAGCACATAATTCACAGCTTCAGCTTACTGGCTACTAGTCTTGCCTAAAAAAAATCACGAATGTTTCTCCCTTTTTGAGTCCTAATTTTGTGTGTTAAATTGTCCATTATTAGTCCCCCGCCCCTTTTAAAATGCAGTCTCTTTACATTTCAGGTAGCAGCTCCTGAGGGTGTATACTTGTGTTAGGAAAAGTTGTGGTGGGCAGTTTGGGAGCTACCATTTCAAGGAAGAGGGAAACAAAAGACTGAAGTGGAGAGTGTGGGTCACATGTGGATGTATCACAGGCTAGCAGTTCCCACCCCTGCTGTAGCCTGTCCACTGGTAGCAGTTATTCATTATCGTGTATAGGTTTAAGAAAGTGCCTTAATTCAGAGTGAAAATAGGTTGAAACTTTGTGCTGAAAGACTGAACGCATAGTAATGGTGATCCTGGAAAGGGGCTGGTGCCTTACATTCCACAACAGTAGTGTTCTGGCTGTAACTGTGTTTTGAGATACATAGGTCTGCCATGCTTTGCAGTCTATAATTCTATGTATTTTTTAAGAGTATGAATGTAACTATGCAAAGCTGCTATTTATAAAACTTTCCAATAAGGTTGGTAATCAACATAGACTTAACACTTATTTTCAGATAATAAATCTCCTTTTTTATTCTTGGTTCTGTTGTCACTATGTCATCTTCTCTCTGCCACCTTAAACTTGTTACATGACTTGTAAGTGATTTATGTGCAAATTGCTTATCTTCAAAATGGATGTCAAGAATGTATTACTCTAAGACCTTTGGTTAGAATGGCTGTTTTAAAAAGTTATTAGCATCTTTGCTTGCCAAAATAGATTCTCTTACTCCATTGGAAAGGACTCTTTCTCTGTGTTGGAAGGGAACCTTTTGATAAATCCCAGTACTTGAAACTTTATTGCTTCTCTTCAAATCGGTTACATAATTTCATTGATTTAATCTTTAAAGCACTTGGAATATTTTTATAAGAACTAATTTAAAAACAATGACTTAAGGAAGTTAAGTGAAGGAAAGTTTTCTGCCCCCTCTTCCCACCTATACTCACTCATTAAGACTCCTAAACTGCCTCTCTAGAGGGTTGGGGAACCCTCTTGAATAATGTGGAACTGATCACACGTTGCTGCTGGAAAAAGGAGGAGACGGGAAAATTTCCTACTCTTGAGATTCCTTCTGTTATCTTAGAGACCAAGACAACAGGCATATTAATGTATGTATTCAAATTACTGAGATTTCCTGTTTCTTCTTGCAGCTCCTGACTGCCTACCTTGATTTGCAGCTGGGTAACTGCTATGTGATCCCTCTGAACACATCCATTGTTATGCCACCACGGAATCTGATGGACCTCTTTTCAAAATTAACGGTTTGCATTGTTATATTTCAGTGTAACATGGGGAAGAGTTTTCTTTTTCTATGAAGACAGTGAAATGTATTATTGTTTATCAATGGTATCTTTTCTTCAGCGATATCTTTCTTTAGCTGGCACGTAGCTTGCTTACAAAAAGTCTGTTGATGACCAGTGTTGGTTGACTGATGGCTTATTGAGAGCATCTGTATCACTGATGCCAAAAGTATAAACACTGTTTTCAGTATGATGCACGTAATGTTTTTATTTGCGTCACTCAGAATTTATAGGCAGAGATAGGACAAGCCTAACTATGTCTAGACCTTCTTACTTGCATTTAGATGCAGGCAGCTGATGAGACTGAATAGATCTCTACTTAACTTTGTTACAAGCCCAGGCAGGGGCTGCTTCCTAAATCAAGCATACTTAAATAGTAAACTACATTAAACTGAGACTTCCTTACAAGTGGATTGGTGCGGGGAGCCTTTTTCAGTCTAAGGTTCACATTCACTTCTGGGCGGCCTGGAAGCCAAATGCCAACAGGGGGTGGAGTAATGGATTTAACTACTACCTTGGTACAGGAAGCTATATTCTAGCCATGCAAAAGTCACAGGTTTATACACACACACACACACACACACACACACACACACACCATACTAGGAAGCAAGAGAAATTATCATTATTCATGGACAAATCCTTCTTCAGAAATTTCTATCAAGTGCATTTGGTAAGAACTCCTAGAAACATGACCCCAAGGAATAACCTTTTGTGATCAAGATCTGGGCACACTATCTGCAATAAATCTTGCTTTAATCATCTGAAGTTTTCACCTTTTCTCATAGATTCCACATGTATAGTTGCTCCCTTTATTTAAAGTTCCTTTGCAAATGTGAATCTTCTTCTTTGGGTATTGAAAAAAAAGAATTGCAAATATTCATATTGGTGATATTTGTGTTTTTCTACAGACTGGTTCCTATTTGCCTCAGACTTACCTTGTTCGTGAAGAAATGGTTGTGACAGAAAAGATTGATAATGTGTCGGATCTGGGCATTTTCATTTACCAGCTCTGTGTAGGGAAGGAAACTTTCAGGCTTCAGCACAGAGATAAGACCAATGGTGAGTATTTCAACTGAGAATGTAAACTTAGCTTCTTATCTTAAGCAGAAAAAAATAAAATCTAAAAATCTTCTGTAAGCTTCCAGAAAGAGCTTTACTTGACAAATCTATCTAGTTTTTTTCTTTTTTAATTTTCCTTTAATAGAAAAGGCTTTTTCTTTCTAAGGTTACATATGGGAAAGTGGAGGTACATGGTGAAACTAAATCATTAAACTGGTGAAAAGTCAATGTTAACACCTCTAGCAGTAGTTCAAGCATGAATATTCTGATAAAGTCAGAAATTTAAGATTTTGTTCAGAATCTAAAAATGTTTGAACAGTTAGCTGCATTGGTGTCTTGCTTGATGGTATTTTGGAAGTATTTGGTTCAGTATTTAGCTAGTGAAATGTGGGAAACTTCACACAGTGGCTCATTTCCAGGGTAGGAAAAGTGTTTGTACCCAACCTGCACATCACTATCCCTAACACTCCTTCCAGAATTGCATTTCCCTGGTTTTAAATCAATAGATACATTCAGCTTGGCACATGCAGCCATAAACAGACTAACCAGGAAATAAATCTTCTATCTGAAATCTTCATATACTGTTCAGCATTAATTGGTGTTGTGTTCTCTTATTTAGGCCTTCAGAAACGCTCAGCTGAAAAGTGTCATTCAATCCGGCACTTTGAAAACTTGTTTGTTGTGGAAACCAAGATCTGTCAGCAGTGAAAAGTACAGGGTAGAAAGTGACAATCACACATCTTCATTAAGAAGTCGAAGCTTTATATCTTTATTTTCAGAATTAAAACATGCAGTGATAATCAAAACCTTATGCTTTTTTGTGGGTTGCTTAAATTTAAAAACAAAAGAAGGAAATTCCAAATTTACCATGATTTTTTCTTTGTGTCCCTGGTGTGGCTAAATTTTCTAGCTTTCATTCGCACTTGCTAACACAAAAGTGAATACCCTATACCCACCTGATTATCGGTTTCACAGCATAGTCTTACACATCTACTTGGAAGTCTTATTTTGTTAAGAGACTTACTCCAAATTAAGTGTGTAGGATTGCAGCCTCAAACTAATTTAAAAAAGGACTGCAAGTAGCAAATTCCTACATAGAAATGTAGTCCAGTCAACACCTGACTCTTTACAGAATGATGAAAGTAACACATTAATATCTGGTTTGCACATTTATGTGTAGCTCTGTAGGATTGCTCTACGGTAAGTCTGGTAAGAAACTACATCAAGACTTCTAAGGTTTATTTGAACTTCATAGAAAAAGCATGTAAACTAACCTTGGTAATCATAAACATTTTTTTCCATTTTGTGCAATTACTGTATTGAACTTGTATGTATATTTGGAACCTTCCCTGAGTTGACTTTAGTACTTCTTTATTTTGGTTCTTTGGTGATATTTAGTTATATGTTCAGGAGCAGTTACTCTTTAAAAGCTTTTATGTTAGTATTTTGCCGCTGGACTGGTTTCAACATCTTTATTGCAAGCTTATGTAATTACAACCTGATTTGGCCCAATTGTCATTGTTTCTGTAGCTGTGAATTTCAACCCTCCAAACCTATATTTGAGAATAACTTCTTATAAGCACAGTAGCACTAAGACTGCAGTTGAAAGTATTATCTTTGCTGAAGACTGTGGTACACGATGGTAAAGGGATTGTTAGTGAGCTGCTGAGTGTTTTGTATAAGGGACTTTATATTTCTCACAAATCCTGCAGCCCTCCAATAAATGTTTCTTTAAGACTATGGTGGTGGTCTCACTTTGTTGGCAATAAAAGTAATTGTGAGAGGGAATATTAATGCTGTCAAAATATTGGTAGCGTATCACTCCTGCGCTGAAACTGCTATAGTCAAGAACCATGTATTCTACAGTACTTCAGAATGTTATATTAGGTGCAGAATCTAGTTTCCTGAGAAACTTAGGCTTTCATGTTTGTGTTTTGCCATCATTGTTCTGAATTATAGGCAAAGATTTGTGTATCTCTAGAGCTAAAGGCGTGGAGGAATTGATCACAGGGTTTCCTTTTCTCTCACAGACTAACAAAGAATAAAGTATGTAACTTGTATATAGTTGGAGAATAAAGTATGCACCTGAGAGAGGCATAATTTAGCCTGCTGAATTCATTTATTCATGGGTGGGGTGAGAGGTGCTTGTGAATCCTGTTTACTGAAAACCTTCCCATACACCAAATAAAGAAGCTGTCAGATAGGCTACTTTGTCCTTCATCCTTTAATACAAATGCAAGTCCATCTTAAAAATTGATCTAGTGCACTGGACTGTTGCTGTCTGAAGTCTTGTGGTACTTTTCTTTTAAATATGGAAAGTGGTGCTCTTTAGTTACCTTTTGCCATGCAAGACAAGTTAATAACTTACAGACCTTAGGTGATTCTGATAGGATCTTTAATTATATATCCCAGCCTGCCTCAGAGAATAAACACTTTCTAGTTCCAGAAACAGGTCCACTTTTTATTTTTGCAGGCTTTAGTGTTATTATTTTTTAGTTTGTTATAGACTATGGGGTTTGTTATAGACTATGGGGGGCTTCCTTCTACCTGGTGGGGATAAGTACCCTTTCAAAAGCTGTTCATGGTTGTCACTGCCTGCCTATAGAACATTGGATCATGGAGCCATTCTGCCTACAGAAGCTACCTTTGTCTTTCCACAATTAAAGAAGTGCTGCACTTTTTAATTACTTGATCCCCTTACCTACAACCTTTTCTTTAGGTACTCCATGGTTGTGGGGGAGGAACAGGTATCTACTGCTACAAGTGGTGGCTTGTTGGTAAAAATTAGCTAACTATTTACTCCCCCTTTCCAAAAGCTGACATCTGCAAACAAAAACACATGCTGGAACTGGAATGTTAACATTTGCACCTGTTGTATGTCAAGACTGTTCCTTGCAAAACTCTGAAGGATGCAGCCTTGAGTTAGTGCTTATTATCCCTTACAAAATAGACATGTCACTTATTCCCACTAGATGGCGAAGTTGGCAAGCTAAAGGTATTTTTGTTTTAAGCCTTCTAGCCTTTTAATGTTCTTGATGAGAGCAGCATGCTGATGCTTCACACCAACTAATCTGGAAATAAGTTTATGATACTCCAGGGAAGCAATATGATTCAGAATCATGCCTTTTGGAAGGGCAGTGAAGGCCTATCACCTTCATAATATTTGGTGTAGATCCGGACTTTTTACACCCATTTGTGTCCATTAATACTGGGAGGGCTTCAGTTTACATGTAAACTTTTCAGACTGCCATCTGGAAAGCTGCATGCCCAAGACAAGCCAGTCTCTTGTGCACATTGTGGTGCACTTGGGCATACAGTAACTGGAGCAAACAACTTGCAGAGAATATTCCAAAAGCAGTCTGGATTTCTCATGTTAGGTTCTTGCAGCAGGGAGGGGGAATAGCCTTTTATACCAAATCCAACTAACTCATCTTCTGCACAGCCTTATCCCACCATGGGGTGCTCCAGCTGTTTTGGACTGCAACTTAAATCAACCAGCCACCATGGCAAACTGGTTTGTGATCCAAAATACCTGAAGGGCACCCAGGCAGGTCTGACCTGACTGGCAGAGGCTCTCCAGCATTTTGGGCAGCACCCCATTGTCAGTCTTATCTGGAGAGGCCAGGGATTAAACTTGGGACCCTCTGTGTGCAAAGCATGTGCTCTACCATTGAGCTATGGCTCGCTCTAACACCACTTCCTTCAAAACAATCTTTCTTGGTTCCGTAGTTTGCTCATGAAACCATCACACACACCCCTGGCCAGTTCAACTAGCCTTGCTGCAAAGCATTTTGCCTGTCTGTTGCAAGTAGCTCATCAGACCTGCTCGAATGTGAGTTTAAATTTACTTGTCCTTTTTATACTTGTGGGGGATAAATCAGGCCACATCCCCCTATTTAAGGTTTCAAGTTAGCAGCTCTTTACTTTTGTAGGTAACACGTTCAGCATTTATAAGAATTTCCTGAGTCACTGAGCTACTTCTACACTTCCTTTCTACCAACCACTGTACAAACACATTTTCCTCACCACTAAAAGTGATCTTTGCTGGGGAGGGGGGAGGACAAGAGTGCTTCATTGCAGGGGGTTGGGCTGGATGAACCTCAGCATCCTTTCCAAATCTACATTTCTATGAAAATATCTCAGGCACTCTTGTGTTTAAGTAAAGAGAGTTAAAGCGAGGAATAAGTATCTCCTTTTAGTAGTTTCAAGGTATTCACACTATCCCTATAATTCTGTGAGGGAGAGCAATGTCTGCGAAATGCTCTGTGATCTTGTGATTAAGGAAGCTATATCAATCTAATAAATAATAATGTTACTGTACCTATTTTGCAGACAGAAGGCTCAAGGTTATAATGAAATGCTTTTTTAGTTTTTCAAATTCCTAACAATGGAGTTGCCTCCTACTTGTGGATTTGGGCAACTTTTTTTCCTTTGCCATTCAGAATCTGAAATGTGAAATTTGGATTTCCAAGCTAAATTTTGAATGGGGTTTACTTCAAAAGTACCTATGTGTTTTTGGCATCTCTTTGAATTTGACAGGCACCAGTTCTCCTGTACTGTCCAATTTTAAATATTGTTGCGTGCCATCTATCAACCAATTGTCTATTTCAGAGGTTCACAGTACTGAGAGAGAATTGCTGAATAAGCGATTTAGACTTCCTGCCATCACAAGTTACCTGCAGTTACACAACAAAAAACCCCCTTCATTGTGGTCTTTTGAAATGAGACCTTTTTTTTTGCGGTAAACAGGTAACTCTAAAAGGAAATATTCTGCAGAAAGCAACACACTCATTATGAAATGGTCTCAGAAGGTGCACTAATCTATGTTAGTCCTAAGAAAATCCAGTATTGCATAATACATTTGGAGATCAAAATAGATTGGTTAAAACCAAAATAAGAGAGCCCTGCCTAATCAGACTGAAAAGCTTGTCTGCTTCAGCATCTACAACTATTCGCAATGGCCAACCAGATGCTTCTGGGAAGCCTACAAATGCAACTACCAGTTGAGAAGGAGACTTCTGATCACGTGTACTCTGGCTCACAAAGACTTGTTCCACACACAATTATTGCGAACAGGTTTGAGTAATCTGTTTGGACCAGTGTGCCATGTTTTATATAGAAGACATATAATATGTGCATGTAGTCACAAACTAATAAGAATCAAATAAATGTTCCATGAACAGGAATGGTAGGAGTGGTAAGTCACTGTCAAAGATGACTGAAACGGAGGCAAAGTGCCTTTCCACAGTCAACATCCTACAAACGTGAGATGATGTGTGCTCCAAACGTCACAATAGGGTGCTCCAAGCACAGCAGCAGACAGTACAATTCTTCCTCCTTTATCAGCTGGTTTAATGATGATGTTAGTATCATTAGACAAGTCATTAAAGCAGGCACGTTGGGACTTGGTTAAATTGTCCTGTGTCCTAGGGCCCCTCTTTTCGAGTTTGTCCAAATCACGGATCACCAGTTGATGGAATGAGGTGATGGAAGGATTAGAACTGGGCGGGATAAAGGATTATTTAGGTCTAAAAAGCTGTGTTTGTTGATCTCTGAAACCAAACATGTCACGTGACTTAATATTATGCACAAATTTATGTAAATCTACCCTGGTGCAAAAAGTGTTACAGCGAGGCTTAGGAACAAAACAAGTCCCAGTGGCAGGACCTGCTTTTCCTCTGTATATCTTTATATAGGCCAGCTTTTACAGGTGTGTAAGCAGGGCCATCCAACTATCAATCACCCAATGTCATAATGAGTTCAGGTGACTGATTAGGTGGGCGGTCCTGCCTGCCTGCTGAAGTTGACCCACAGGTATGGCAGTAAGGGGGTCTGTTTCACCAGCACATATTCCACACCAAGAATGTGTTGGCACCCAGCAGGATTGAATTCCATGCTCATTAGCTGATGAGTGGAGGGTTCAGTTCTGCTCTCTGCAGGGGCAGAGGAAGTGGGGGTGCGGTGAGTGTGGGCCACCCTGGATGTCATCACTTGGGGGTGACAAAATGCCGGGCGGCACGCACCACAGGGCCTACAGCACGCCTAAGCCACACGTCTCTCCTGGGAGAGACGCAGTGGCTTGGGTGCGTGCAGGCTCTGTGCTGTCCAAACTGTCCACCCGCTGCCCACCCCCCAGCTGTAGGGTGGCTGAGTGGGAGGAGGCAGGCAGACTCCGGAGGCCCCACAGTGCACCCTACCCTTATGGGCGGCTCACCTCCCCCCTGGGCACTGCCCCAGGCGCCCAAGCGGCTTCCTCTGCTGCTGTCTGTCTGCAGGGGTTTGCTTCACTACAGTGAAGCAGCACCAACAGCACCAGCTGATTGACAGGCAGGTGTGGTTTTGGGGAAATAGTACTGTGGGCCAAATTGAACTCTATGAAGGGCCAAGGGCAGAGGTTCCCCACCCCTGCTTTTAGGCATCTCATGATGAGCTAATACAGCCGCCTGTCAACTGCAACTGTAATTAGCACTGTAGTGAGCTCTTGACAACCCTGGGATAGCATATCAAGAAAGCTAGTGCTGACATGAGGACAACCCCTCTTCAGAAGGACATGATCCATCTTCTCCTACTTGTGCACAGGGAGATTATTGCTTGGCCTCCCCCTACATGCCCACTCAGTTCCTCTGCAATATGTTCAGTCATTTCTGGTGACAAAGGAATTATTCCAAACCTTACATATCTAGGGGCCCATCATGCAGGCTGAGAGAAGGGAGAGCCCAATCCACTACTTGTGAGCAAACCTTGCTCATGGTAGGCACATGCAATGGGATCCCTAAAAGTTCTGAGCCTTTGGTTGTGCTGGTGGATTTAAAATACCTGCAACCGATGGCTAAAAATCATCATCTGTGTAGCGAGCAGACTGGCTGGTGCCTTTGCTGGGTTGACTGCCTTTCTTTGTAATGCACAGCATCTATCACTTATCTGAGCCATCACAGTGTGCTCCATCTTGCCTCTTTCCCTTTTTTCATCTTCAGGCGGCACGTTTCATCTGAGCTTCCTGTAGCAGTGTTCCTTTTCACTTTTTCTTTCTTTCTTTCTTATTTCGCACTGTGGTTTCCGCTCACTGTTACTGGGGCGGCAGCAGGGAGCTAGGTGTTGGCAGAATGAAGCGAGAGCTATTTGTGACATCATTGTGGCAGATTGAAACAGGTGTTTTTTGTCCCAGACTTAGGTGTTGTAGTAAGCTGGGGTGGGGAATCATTGCTGAAAAATTAATATACCTTCCAGTAATGCTCACATTACAGTTTAAAAACCCCCAAACGGTTTAGCCTCAGACACCTGAAAGACCACGGAAAACCTCTCAGATATGAAGGCCAGCAGCCGTTCCTCCACTGTCAGAAATTTGAGGGGTGGCATCCCAGGAGAGGACTTTTTTTGCAGCAGCCCCTAAGCAGTAGAATTCCCTCCTCGCAGAGGTCCATCTGGCAGCTTCATTGTATAGCTTTCAACATAAGCTGAAGCCCAGCTTTGACACCATATCTATCTATCTATCTATCTATCTATCTATCTATCTATCTGAACCCACCCTGTTCTTCTGAGTGTAGATTGTCTAAACTGGTTTTAACCTTGCATTTTCATATTGTAACCCACCCTGGAATCTTATGTTGAAGGGTAGGTAAGAAACAACAACAACATATCCACTTCTAGTCCTACTCAGTACACTCATTGAAATTGATAGACATAACTAAGGTTCATGAGTAAAACTTACGTTGGATATAATAATAATAATAATAATAATAATAATAATAATAATAATAATAAATTGTGTTGGCGGTTATTGTGTGTGTGTGTGTGTATGTATTATTTCAGAAAAGGGCAATCCAAATGTTCAATGGAATGGAGCAACTCCCCTATGAGGAAAGGACGCAGCATTTGGGACTTTTTAGAAAAAGCAGGTCAGAGGGGGCACAATACAAGTTTATAAAATTATGCATGGCATGGAGAAAGTAGATAGCATAAGGCTTTTTGCCCCCTCATAAAACACTGGAACCTGCAGACATCCAAAGAAGCTGAATGTTCGAAGATTCAGGACAGGTAAAATACTTCTTCAAGCAGTGCAAAGTTAAACTATGGAACTCAGTCCCTTAGAAGGCAGTGGTGGCTTTAAAAGAAGACATACCCTCTAACATTTCTTCAGTGAAAATAGGGACATCCTAAGGAAAAGCAGGACATTCTGGGATCAAAGCAGAAACCGGGGCAGCTTCTGTAAATCTAGGACTGTTCCTGGAAAACAGGGACACTTGGAGAGTCTGGGAGGATTAGACAAAAGGCTATCAACAGCTACTAGCCATGCCGGATTTATGTATAAGTTAAACAAGCTATAGCTCTCTTGGGGGCCCCCAAAAAATTAAAGGGGAAAAAACCTGGATGTACATTTCCAAAATATAAGATAAGTTCAACAATTACTTTGATAAAATACATATTTTGCTATGTGCAAATGGCTTTAGATACCTATTAGGTCCATAAATTACCATATAGCATATATTCAACACAAAAAACAGTGACAATTTGTTGTTGACAAAGGACAGCTGGACATATAAAGAGCCCCATTACCTTCAGTAGCTTAGGGCCTCATTAAACCTAAATCCGGCCTTGGCTACTAGTCATATTGGCCAAGTTCAGAGACAGTACACTTCTAGATACCAGTTGCTGAAAACTGTGGAAGGGGTTATGCTCAGGTCCTGCATCTGTGCTTCTTGTGGGCTTCTGGTTGGCCACTGTGAGAACAGGATGCTGGACTAGATGGACCATTGGCCTGATCCAGCAGGCTCTATGTAACGGTGTTGTTCCTTAGTGAGCAATCGGGTAGCATATTGAGCTGCACACTTTCATTTTTTTTTGTTCATTCACTTAAGACATTTCTATTCCACCTTGGAAACCAAACCCTATGAGGAAAGGTTTCAAGTGCTGGGTATTTTTATAGGCTGGAAAAGAGACCATGAGATGACATAATGGTACTCATCAAATATTTGAAGTGTTGTCATATGGAAGATTGTTCTCTGTTGCTCTTGTGGGCAGCCAGGCATCCAGAGGTCACATACCAGTGGTGGGTGGTGTTAGATGGAAAAGTGGATGGAAAATCGATGTGACACTTACCTTTGTACTTTGCAAAAGTTGAAGGTTTCTACATGCACACCCACACACCAAGTATCTTTCCATCTTCCTTCCAGGCAAGCAAGAGTTCAAGGAGACATTCCAGGTAGACAAAATTGTTCAAGGAGGACATGGCCTGTGGGAGGGGGTGTGGTCTGGGAATAGCCCTGAGAGCCAAATTGAGAACCCCGGAGGGCCATATTTGGCCCAAGGCCTAAGGTTTCAGATAGCTTCTCTCTCTCTCTCTCTCTCTCTCTCTCTCTCTCTCTCTCTCTCTTTCTCTCTCTCTCTCTGTGTATATTTCACTGAGACTTTACAGCACATTGCAGTACTACACAGATCAGATTTATTACAGTACAAAAAATAGATGCTTTTAAAAAATAAATTACTTCCATCAAACATATTAAATTAACAGTTCACAGTATTTTTCTGCTTGTACAAAAAAACAACGAAAAACAACCTACCAACCCCTCAAGCAAATATGAAACTTCATTTGGGGAAAGTAGGAAGAGCATATCCCCCTCTCCCACTTGCACCAATGTTCCAGGACATACATGATTATTTTCAGGAACACCTCTCCCTCTAACACAGCCTTTGCCAAGAGGGTCTGGGGTCCTTCAGATGTTTCGGAATAGAATCCCCACCAGCCCCAGCCAGATTCTATAGGCATCTGCTTAGCCACAGTGAGAAGTGTTTGTTGGACTCAGTGGGTTTTTGGCCTGATCGAGAAGGCCTCTTCTTATGTTCTTACATCTGATCCAGCACATGGGGATGCCACAAAGCCACCCTTGAGAGCTGAGGAATCATTGGCAACTTCGGATGTTGTAGGAACCCAGTTCCCATCAGCCTCAGCCAGCACAGCCAGTGGCCAGGGATGATGGGAGCCGTAGTCCAACAAAACTTGGAGGACTGCAAGCTCCATATCCCATTGTTGTAAACAGTGAAATGGGTCCACATCCTAAATCATGAATGCAGATGGCACTAATCTCTAATAAGCATGTTGGTAATCTTGTTGTGTATTATGAGGTACAAAAAGTACCGTAATCGCAAACAACAAACAACATGATACTGCTGTGTGTACGGATTTACATACATTTTTACCCTGAAATATGTCCCAGAGAACTTAATGGAACTTATAACAACAACAACAACAACAACAACAACAACAACATATTGACTGTTTAGGGCTTTAAAGGTCAGCACCAACACTTTGAATTGTGCTCGGAAACATACTGGGAGCCAATGTAGGTTTTTAAGGACCGGTGCTATATGGTCTCGGTGGCTGCTTCCAGTCACCAGTCTAGCTGCCGCATTCTGGATTAGTTGTGGTTTCTGAGTCACCTTCAAAGGTAGCCCCACATAGAGCACACTGCAGTAGTCCAAGTGGGAGAGAACCAGTGCATGTACCACTGTGGTGAGACAATGCACAAGCAGGTAGGGTCTTAGCTTACGTACCAGGTGGAGCTGGTAGATAGCCATCCTTGACACTGAATTAACCTGTGACTCCATGGATAGCTGTGAGTTTTAAAAGTACTTTGTAACATTCCTCAGCACTGCTTGCCAATGCAGCCAGCTAGTATTTCCTAGTGAATATCAGCAGTTCACTGCTATAGGACGTGAGAGTGGCCACTACCTTAGATGGCTTTTAAAAAAAGATTAAACCAGTTTATGGAGGAGAAATCAGCCAGTGACTATTGGACATAATGGGGTTTAGGGTTGTATCTATCAAAGTTATGTAAGAATTAGCACTAGAACAATGCTATTTCCTCCTCCCCTCATGTGTACCCTATACCAAACCCAAATCTGCTCTGGAGGGATGGGAGGAAACCAAGAATAGATTAGGGGGCATGCAGGGGGAGAAGAGGTGGATAGGGCTCCATTGCACAAGAATAAATCACTGAGCCAATGAAACAAGCTGCTGAACACTATGTTGAATACAATCCCATATCTCCTTGCAAGACCCCAAGCACCAGCACTCTGTCACTTCTGGATAAGCAAAAATGTCTATTTAGTCAAATGCTAATGTTCCAGTAGGCAATTAAATACAAGTGTTGGTATAATTTTGAATATTATTTAAAATCAGTAGTATCAGTGGAAGTGCAGGCAAAACACAAAAGTTCCATTGGTCAAAGCATGAAAGCCAACTAGTCCACAGATTGCAAAGGAGACCAGACCATTGCCTTGCCACGCCAGTAGAGTTTTAAGCCCATAGAGTCAGGTTAACCCACTTCAAACAGTATGACTTGGATTTTCTGCCACACACCCAAGTGAGGTCTGCTGCTCTGGGCCATTTGTATTTTCATAGCGTGTGTTATGGAGCTGAATGCTGTCCTGCAAATCTTGCCTTGAAAGCCGTCTTCGGAACTCATCTGTGGTAAAATAATAAATGACAGGGTCTGCACAAGAGTTTAAGCTGGCAAGGCACAAGGCCACCGTGTGGAATATCAAAATCACTTTTCGGGCATAGCAGTCTTTTATCTTGTTGGCTTTCACAAAGTAATCCAACGGGAAGCTGATGTGGTAAGGTGCAAAGCAAATCAGAAAGACCACGGCACAAGTCAGGATCATCTTCAGAGCTTTCCGTTTCTCTCCAAGGTCTTGGGAAACTGAATTTTTTTCTTTTAGAGATAAGATGGTCTTCCACGAACAATAGACGATGATCAGCAGAGGAGTTACAAATCCAACTAGTTCACCAAAGGACATCATTACTATAGAGATGGTACCATCAACAGCCTTTACTGGAAGATCCACAAAGCATTTATTACTAATGTGTGTCTCATTAGAGGTGAGTCGTAGAAGGGGGAAAGGCAAGCAGCCAACACAGACTAGAATCCACCCAGCAATGCAAACGTACACGTCATAGATGCGTTTGCAGTCACTGAACCTAAAGGGATACATGAGGAATAAGAACCGCCTCACACTGATGCAAACCAAGAAGTAGATGCTTGCATACATGTTGACATATTTCAGGTAGAAGCAAAACATGCACAGCTCCTTCCCAAGGTGCCAGCTTTCTGACAGGTAGTAGAAAATCCTCAGAGGCAAAGACAAAACTTGTGCCAAGTCTGCAATCGCAAGGTTGATCATAAAAATCACAGCCCGCTTTGTTTCTTTCATGTACCCATAAAATACCCAGAGGGCTAAAATGTTCCCAATCAGCCCAGGAACCAAGATGATTGTGTACATGACTGCATAGAAACGCTTCGAGAAATCGTTCTCCCCATTGCAATCCGGGCCATCAGCCACCATGGTGCTTTTCAGGAGGGAGCAGAGATGCTGTTGGAAATGTAAGGTAACCACCTAAAGATTTACCCCCCTTGAAACCTTGTGAAAAGGAAATGAGGATATAAGGCAACTGGAGAAGCTGCAGATGTGGAATCCATGAATTGTCTGTTTTCTTGGCATTCTCTCCAATGTAAAAAATGTATTCCAGAAATCTTAAGAAGATTCTTTTAGAGGCTTGCTAGGATTTGTTTCTCCAAATCTTAGAGATTTATGTATAGGGCCTTCTTCAGCTACTTTTATCATATTTATGAGTTGGTCTTTTCATTGGCCATGGCATCCATTGGATTTTGATAGAAACAGATAGCAAACTCATGTCCATGTCCTTTCTCAGATGAATTTTACATCAAGGGAGAGGGTGGTTTCCCATCTGGATGCACCAAAGCTGTGCATGGTGACGAGTCAGACTGAAGCAAGTATCATCTGAAGTGTTGCAGCTACTGTAATGAAATGATCTTCTATTTGATTTTGAGTGACACCCTCAAAAGGCACCTCGTGGCCGGAGCTCTGCCGCAAATGATAACTCTACACCTACAGCTGAAGAAAACACAAAAAATGAATTACTCTATTGTTTGTTTTTTATTTCACTTAACAGTATCTATATATGTAACAACACCTCTAAGCTGTTTCCAAGAAATATTAAAATTATAAATGAAAACAGCTAAAAACAAGTAATTAAAATCAATTTTATAAACAGAACCTGCAGTAAAGAGATTTAAATCAGCATCTACACGGCTGGGAAGCTGTCCTAAAGAAAAATGTTCTAAGCAGGCACTGGAAGGAATGCAGTGAAGGCACCTGCCTGCCTGATGTCAATAGGCAGGGAGTTCCAAAGTATACGTGCTTTTCTTACAAGTGTGAACACGTACCATGTGGCATCTGTAAAAGTGCCAGTTCTGCAGATTGAAGCAGTTGAGTGGACACATATGGGGTGAGGTGATTCCCATCCCAAGCCAGTAAGGGCTTTATATACCAATAAAAGCACCTAGAACTTGGCCCAGAAACAAATCAGTAACCAGTGCAGATCTCCAAGCAGAAGTGTCTTACACAGTCAATGCTGAAGTGGTTATCCACTTCCAAGACTACAATGGGGTGAAGAACCTGTGGCCTGTGACCAAGAAGTCACCCTCTCGGTCTCTCTATTCAGCCCATGGTACTCTTCCCACATTCCTTCTCCCCATGCATGCTACACTTTCACCAGCCTCTGCACTCTCCTCAAGTCCCTTTGCCCGGCTGAAATGTGTTATTGTGTTATTGAACTATGACATTGCCTTTTGCTTTCATGGATGGAGAGATTTGGAGAGGCAGGGAATTGTTACCTGTTAGTGATTCAAACTGGCTTATAGAAACTTCTAACTGTTGCGTGGCTGGAATGTAGCCAGCTTGACAAACGTAAGAGTCCTATCCAATTGTCCACCCATTTTTGCATTTGGCACCACCCACCAATGGCATGTGGTTCCCTTCATCCAATACAAAGAAGCACCACCAATCAAATGTGCCAACAACCACACGTTAAGTTAGTGACATGTTGTGCTCATGATACTCATTGCTGAGCTTGGCCAAAGTCTTGTTGGCTTTCATGGGTCTTTCACAGCTCACTTTGTTCCTCAGGACAGATTCAGAAGAACAGGATTTCCTCCCCCCCCTGCCCCCCACAACGTTTATTGACTTTTCTTAAACTCCAGGAACATTTCAAATTAGTATAAGTGAAGGTACGGGATTTGGAGTGATGAAATGAAATACAGCTTACATAAACAGAACTGTGTCTTCCGGACACGGTAATGAAAATTCAAGGAAGCTTTGCCCTTCATTTGATCAATCCTGCACAGCGTAAATACAATTTGGCTGTATTTCTTATTCTGCTTTATTGCACAAGTCAGAATGCATGATATATTGCTGCCTTAACAGCATGGAATGTTTTATAGTCCAGTGCTATTAGTAACAAAATGTATACACTTAACATGGATTTGATAGTGATGGATAAAGCACATTACTTAATGTTAAACCATGTTTTAAAAACAGCCTCTTGTCTCCTGCAACACACAGACTGCTAAGCAGAAATGAAGTCCAAGATGCCTTGTAGGGTCCTTCACGCCTTGAATACTCCTCATTGTTAAAACAAAAATGAAATCTCCCAGCAAGCTGAAAAGCTATGACATCTGAGGGAAAAGGACTGGCTGTTGTGATGATTTTCTATTTATAGGAAAGCACTTTTGTTCATTTGTTGTTGTTGTTAAATTTTTATACTGCCCTTTGTCTTAGGATCACAGTGTAGTTTACAATACATTATGTTAAGAGAACATTCAAATATGTGAGTCTCCACCTGCTATGGTACGTAGTCCATTCTGCCATTACAAGATTTTATGCACCTGTAGACCAGGCCTAAATTCTGTAACCACAGAATGCTGGCAACATCTGGGAACTAGCCCATGAGACAACTGGCCAACCAGACCTGTAGAGATGGACCAGAACTTTGGCACAGATGGGTCAGATTTGATCAGGATGCAGGCCTTTAACATCACCGCCCCAGTCAACCCAGAGTTTGGCCCCATAGCTTTGCAGGAGGTGAGTACAGGTGACTCCCCACTTATGTGGGGGTTACATTCCTGGGAACTGCATATAGTGGGGAACACCATCTAATAAGCCAAACTCCTTTGTGGAAGGGGGTGTTGATCAAGGGGAGGGAAGTTAACAGAGTGAGTAGTGGTCATTCCAAAATCCAAATGTGTCCACAGACCTAAAAAAAGATCAGTGATCCTAAATTTAATCTTTAGCGTGTATTTTTAAAAATTCTATGCCTGTCTATGAGCATATGATGAACATTTTAATGCAAATCTGTGTCCCCTTTTTATTTGTGGGGGCAGCATGTGACTCCTCTGTTTTGGCACCATGAATGTTCCACCCTGGTTAGGCTGACAGCGCAAGGTCACCCAGTTTGCTTCATAGCTGAGTGAGGGTTTGAAACCTAGTCTCCCAGGCCCTAGTCCATGGGTAGGCAAACTAAGGCCTGGGGGCCAGATCCGGCCCAATCGCCTTCTAAATCCGGCCCGCGGACAGTCCAGGAATCAGCGTGTTTTTACATGAGTAGAATGTGTCCTTTTATTTAAAATGCATCTCTGGGTTATTTGTGGGGCATAGGAATTCGTTCATATTTCCCCCCCCAAAAAATATAGTCCAGCCCACCACAAGGTCTGAGGGACAGTGGACCGGCCTGCTGCTGAAAAAGTTTCCTGACCCCTGCTAGTCCATGGGTAGGCAAACTAAGGCCTGGGGGCCAGATCCAGTCCAATCGCCTACTAAATTTGGCCCGTAGACAGTCCAGGAATCAGCGTGTGTTTACATGAGTGGAATGTGTCCTTGAATTTAAAATGCATCTCTGGGTTATTTGTGGGGCCTGCCTGGTGTTTTTACATGAGTAGAATGTGTGCTTTTATTTAAAATGCATCTCTGGGTTATTTGTGGGGCCTGCCTAGTGTTTTTACATGAGTAGAATGTGTGCTTTTATTTAAAATGCATCTCTGGGTTATTTGTGGGGCCTGCCTGGTGTTTTTACATGAGCAGAATGTGTGCTTTTATTTAAAATGCATCTCTGGGTTATTTGTGGGGCATAGGAATTCATTCTTTTTTCTTCTTCAAAATATAGTCTGGCCTCCCACAAGGTCTGAAGGGCAGTGGACCAGCCCCCTGCTGAAAAGGTTTGCTGACCCCTGCCCTAGTCCAATAATCTAACCACTTCAGCACACTGTGAAGCAACCAACCAAAGTAGTAGTACAGTGGTACCTCAGGTTACATACCCTTCAGGTTACAGACTCCGCTAACCCAGAAATATTACCTCGGGTTAAGAACTTTGCTTCAGGATGAGAACAGAAATCGTGCTCCAGCGGTGCGGCAGCAGCAGGAGGCCCCATTAGCTAAAGTGGTGCTTCAGGTTAAGAACAGTTTCAGGTTAAGAACGGACCTCCGGAACTTAACCTGAGGTACCACTGTAGTAGTAGTAGTAGTAGTAGTAGTAGTAGTAGTAATTACTTATACCTCGCCCATCTGGCCAGGTCTCCCCAGCTACTCTGGGCAGCTCCCAACAGAATATTAAAAACACGATAAAACATCTAACATTAAAAACTTCCCTAAACAGGGCTGCCTTCAGATATTTCCTAAAAGTCAGGTACAGTGGTACCTCAGGTTAAGAACTTACCGTAATTCGTTCTGGAGGACCGTTCTTAACCTGAAACTGCGTCGCTGCTGCGCTATTTCTGTTCTCATCCTGAAGCAAAGTTCTTAACCCGAGGTACTATTTCTGGGTTAGCGGAGTCTGTAACCTGAAGCGTCTGTAACCTGAAGCATATGTAACCCGAGGTACCATTGTAGTTGTTTATTTCCTTGACATCTGATGGGTTAAGCTCACAAGTGTGAACCATCCCTATGTCTTATGAAGTCTGAGTAACCATCTTCTTACCACTATACTTAACTGGCAGCCTGGAAATTTCAAGCAGTATTGCCTGAAGTTAAAAATAAATGTGGGCATTTTAGTCTGTGAGACAATGGAAAAACCAGCAATGTGCTATAAAAAGTATGTAAGGGGGATTTTTATTTATGGGTTTCTTTCAAGTTCTACTTCCTGCACCCATTTGCTAAGAGTCTTCTACATAACCTCCCCCTCCTCCACTCTTTGCTTTCTACTTAAGCAGTAGTAGTCAAACCTCCACATATTGCCACCAGGTATATATAATACCTGACTGTAATGCACATTTTTTGTGTATGCCATCTTGCCAAATGGGTATTGACATTTGCCAGTTAGAGTTTAACAGAAGCAGGGAGATGAGAGCAGTTTGGCCCTTAAAGAAAAAAAAGAAAAAGAAAGAAAATAAGACAAACTCATAATTTATAGCTGCTTGTTCCATGAGTCACTAAAGGACGGTGGCTTAATAATTCATGGTTATTTCTCTCTTAACATACAGAGGTGAACCCAAGGTGAAGCCTCCTATGCAGGAATGAAGAGGCTTGAAGAGATAAATGGGTTGCCTTTAACAAGTGCACAATAAGCGAGATAGTTTCTTCCAATATGGTGATTCTATGATATCCAGCTTTTAACCAGATTGTTCCTTTATTTTACACAGCACTCTGAAGCCTGTTCCTCATGACGTTTCTGCAGGTTAGAGCATTACTGAGGATGTGCCTGTCTTCATATTACAACTTAAACCTATTTCAAGCTTGCTTACTTGCCATGACTTTACCCCCTAAGGATTGTAGGAACTTGTATTACTGTGAAGGAACTGGGACTAGCTAGAAAAATTGAAGACAATATATTCAGCATTCACACAAAATTATAACTCCTAGAATTCTGGGAATTATAATTTTGTGTAAGTGCTGAATATACTTCATCTTCCCCCTGGATCTCAGGTGGCCTATCAGGCACACCAAAATCACATACAAAAATATGTGCAGATGATCTCAAAGCCTGATGCTTATAGAACTTGTGTTTTCTGAATGATTCCTCATATTATCCCACACAATGCCTGGCAGCTTTTGTGAATCCCAACCCCCACCCCCCCAAGAACTGTGATGGAGTATTTAATTTTTTATTTCTATTTTAAAGACCTAGCACAAGAGAGTGCTTTAAACATTTACGGCCCCTGTGAGGCAGCTATAAAGAAAACACAGGAAGATGTCCAATGCTAAGTCAGACCATATCCCAGCTCTACCTGGAGATGCTGAGATTGAACCTGAGACCTTCTGCATGTAAAGCAGATGCTCTACTGTTCAGCTACTCTTAGGAGACATAGGAACCAGGAAACTGCCTTATAGAAAGTCTAACTCAGTATTGCCAACACTGACTGACTGCTGTTCCCCAGGGCTTCAGGGTCCTTTTCAAATACTACCTGGAGCTTTCAGGGATTGAGCCTGGGACCTTCCGCATGGAAAGCAACTGCTTTATCAGTGAGCTTCATTGAGCTTTGGCCCTTCTCAGTGGCAGTGCTCCACACAGCAGAGGGCACATGGAAAAGTCTCTCTTTGCAACTGCTGAAATGCACACTGATACCTTCAGACTGGTAGTACACAGCCACAGTGACTACTGACACTGATGCAGAACTGAGGCTTGAGTGTGGTCTGGTATAGTGCTTAGATCAGCGAAGCCCAGTTTAGGAACATAGGAAGCTGTTTAAGTCTCCATTGATCCATCTAGCTCAGTGCTGTTGACATTGGCTGGAAGTGGCTCCCCAAGGTTTCAGACAGGAGACACTCCCAGCCATACTTGGGAGATGCCGGCGATTGAATTTGGGGCATCACATATGAAAAAAAGAAGCAGCTCAAAGGCCCTTCTTCACATATCCCTACTCAGTCATGAAGTTCACTGAAGCATTTTAGGTAAGTTACTACCTCTGTGCCTAACGCACCACACAGGGCCACTACGGTAATAAAAATCAGGTGGGTGGGTGAACTGCTTTGAGTTCCCTGGAGGAAAGATAGGCTATAAGTGTAACTGATGAGCACATGAGGCGATATAAGGACCTTTTACACATCATGACTGCCACATGGATGCTTTCATGCAGCCACTGTCAGCCTCATGTCCTGCAGATTATTTTCTTTATTTTACAACATTATGCTTAATTGTAATAGAACTTCAAATTGGTTTACAGAGCTGGGGTTGATCGAAACAATAGTCCAAAACATCTACAGAGTACCACTTTAATGGACACGTGGGTCTCAATAGTGATCTCTGTGTGGAGGCTATGGTCTAAAGTTGTTGCCGAAATGTTGTGTGCCCCTCTTTTCTTTTTATGCATGGTTTCACTTCATTCAGAGCTGCTGTAGGAACAAAGGTAGCAATAATATTGCATCTAAAGCAGGCTGAGATCAAGGGTGGAAGCAGAAAATTCTAGCCAGGACAATGAAATAAAATGATTATCATAATTCTACATTCTTCCAAATGGGTAGGTTCTTTTCTAAGGGCAAATTGCTTTACCAAGTATCAGAAATCACTAAATTGGTATTGAAAAATCATAATATTGATGGAATTAAAACAGTGTGGGTTTGATAATACAACTTTTCTAATCTTCACGTCAAGATGAATCTGCTTTTGATCTCTCAGTACTTATCTGTTTATGTCATTTTGAAAATTCCTCTTGGTTTGCGAATATGTAAAATTCCTTTTTAAAAGGGACAACATTTAACACTCAGTTTTCGCTTTCTAAAGACTGTACATCTGCAGACATTGGAGCATGCTGTATATATAATCCATTCCTCTACCCATTCATTCCATTTGCAAATATTTTAAATATTTTAAATAAAAACCAATAAACATTTTCTTTCATCTCCAGCGCAAAAGTTCTATAACAACTAACTTACAGTTAAGATCAAATTCATTGTCAACTTCTTATGAGAAAAGATCAGCAGCTAGTTAACTAAAAACAATAGAAAGAATGAGAATCCTACCGTTGCAAATTGCCTCCTAACTTCAGATGAATTCTGCAAGTGCCTGATACTGTATACAAGTCACCCGACAAAGAAGGTTGCCGCCACTTTCTGGCCTCCAGCTTAATATAGAAAACAAAACTGGAAGTATGCAAGGCGTTCAAAGAGCATTTGATTGAACAGAAGCCCCGGTATAACTCGCAACGTGCTTCCGAAAGGCATTTGCAAACATCGTGCAGTCAGCACATGGCGTATTGACTTTTTCCAGTAGGCAGCACACCTTGTGATTGATGTTGGGAGAAGGCTATTTCAGCAGAGAGCATCAAGCAGCATTTGAACAACCTTTGCCGTTCAGCTCATTCCTCACGGTGGAGGTGGAAAGTTGCTGTTTCTATATATAGATTGGTGCTTTTCTTCTCAATTGTATTTTGAGTGGTCCTGAGTCAGGGCTGGTTTTGTGGTAGCAAACGGTGTCATTTTTTGTTTTTTATCTGTGCAGTTTGGTATGCCAGAAAGATAAGTAGATACACCCCATAGCAAGTGGGTACCTTTTACCCACAGTAGCATGTGGTAAGCATTTGAAAACAAAGCACTGACTAGCAGCTATGCCAGTTACACCTGTGTCTTCACATTCAGTTGAATGAGCATAGAAATTTGCCTTATACCAAAAACAGATCATCCGTCTATTTAGCTTAGTATTGTCTACACTGACTGGCAGCTGCTCTAAGGCATTTCAGAAAGACCTACTCCAGGTAGGTCTTTCTCAGCCCTACCTGGAGATGCCAGGGATAGAACCTGTGACCTTCTGCATGCAAAGCATGTGCTCTACTACAGAGCTATAACTTTTTGCATATAAAGTGATGAAATGCTGTCATAGTTGAATTTCTGATGGGCCAAAGTATTAACTCCAGCCAAATTTTGTTGGGTTTCTTTGGGGGGAAGTGGGGGACACCAACCAAAATTGGGGAATTCTAGTGTTTTGTTGTCATCTTACCTTATTTCATAAAATACCTATCTGCATATGTGCCACAACATAATACAGATCATAAAGGTCCTTACGCAAATTATTCTGTGCTTTTGCTTCACTGTGATCATGGTATATAGTGTGTTTCCTGTGTTCCCAATTTCAGCACTTGCTGCCCCTCCTCCCAGGTTACCCACCTCATACATCCCCTCACCTGCATAGGATTATCATACCGCCATGTATGTATCTGGGGACATAATTTTTAATGTGTTTTCCCCCCACAACGCTGGAAGGGCCTTGAAGACAAGAGACTGCATACATGCTTGAGATATGCCCCCTCTCCCTACTGTCTATTTTGGTTCTTCTTTTTCTTTTTGAAGAAAACTCTAGCACTTGGAGACTTAGTTAAACAGGAATTTTTTTTATTTTCACAACAAAATTGGTAAAACAAAAGATGTGTCTGGAGATGGAATTCTTTCAAGAAATAGGTGTGCATGTGTGTGACACTAAATGTTGTCTTTTAATATATCCCCCAGCTCAGAGACTTCTTTCTCTGACTGTAGATCTTTCCTCAGGGTGAATTGCACACCCAGCTATCCTGCTATCCAGTTGAACGCCAGGAACTCAAACTCCTTTTTCTTTTTCCCTCCCAAAGTGCTGTCTCCCACCGTGGCTAGCTGTACCTGCAGCCAAGCAGAATGAGCCTATAGCTCAGCACTCTGTAAGCTACACCACTCTGGTGGAGTTCCGTGGCACTGCACCACAAGCTCTGGTCTACCTGGTTCGTTCGGGGTGCTTGTGCAGAGATGTGCTTTAAATGTATGGTGTGTACATACAGGCTCAGTTTTACCAAATTTTTCTCCCAGGGTAAACTGCCCAGGGGGTGAGTGTTTCAAAGATGGGTCTTCAGAAACCTGCCTTATTCCTGCACCCATTCCAGCATACCATTATTGATTTTTAATTGTATTTTTATTGCTTCTTTTATTTCTTATGTTGCCTTTTTATTGCATCACAATTTGAATTCTCTGGAGTTCAGATTGTAATACCGTACAATAAAATATCTAGCATAATGATTTGCAGCTGCTACGAATCAGGCAAAAAAATCATTAAGTGATCCTCTAAGACCCCTGGCAATTTTGAAGTTCTTATTACTCATAGAGAATAAAGAACCACTGCTTTAAACTTCAAGCTAACTTCTCTATCTAAACAGCTCATCACCATGAGAAAATGCTGAAGAGTCTTGTCTGCCTGCCCTGGAATCCAACCACAGCCCTACCTTCTCTGCCTCTGGCCCTTACGTCTACCTGAACTAAAACTGTAAATGAGCCTGACACCAAGTCACCCTTAAAAGAGCTCACACCAGCCAACATTGTTAATTCATGTTATTCTCAACCCTTGGTGTTAGGTTAAGCTGTGCAGTGCTCTTCATAGTAGTGGAAAAATTTGAACCTGGGTTTCTTCTCACGTCCATACTCGGCCACTAGCTCTCTAATGATATACTCTGTACCAGGGATGAAACAAAAAATAATCAAATTAATATGGCTGAGTTTTGACTGGAAAGGAAAGCATTTCCCCCCATTCTACAGTGAGGAGGGGTCCTGGGATAGTTTAGAAATTTTATGCTTCCTCTTTTGAGGGCAGTAAGCAGCTGGCTCTCATTATAGTGATCAACCTGGATAGAAGATTTATGCCTTTTCAAAGCTCAAATTCAACCATTTTGCACTGTGACGATACCTTCATTTTTTTATCAATAAATTTTTATTGATTTTCATTAAATATACATTCAGTATACAAATAAATTTCACATATATCTTTGGCTCTGCCGAGCTTCAGACTTCCCTCCACCCCTTCAGTAAGTATCGTACATTTTCTTACATCACGTATTTTGTTTGTTTATCTGGTTAACCATATGCTGTTAGAGTTAATCTAACCCTGCCAGTGTCTTTAAGGTTTTACAGTTATCTCTTATATACAGCAAATATTTACTCCAAGTTTCATCAAACTTCTGTTCGTCCTGATCTCGTATTCTCCCTGATAATCTAGCCAGTTCTGCGTAATTCATCATTTTAACCTGCCAATCCATAACAGTTGGTATTACATCTGTTTTCCAATTCTGAGCCAACATAGTTCTTGCAGCCGTCGTGACATACAGAAAGAGGGTTTTATCTTTCTTTTTAATTTCCTTCCCTACCAATCCCAATAGAAAGGCTTCGGGTTTTTTGGAAAGGTATACTTAAAAACTTTTTAAAGTTCATTGTAAATTGATTCCCAAAAGCCCTTCACTTTACCACAATTCCACTATGTGTGGTAGAGGTCTCCTTCCGCCTCTCCACATTTCCAACATTTCTTATTTTTCATTCTGTACATCTTTGCCACTTTTACCGGCGTAAGATGCCACCTATATATCATTTTCCATATATTCTCTTGCAATGCCGTACAGGCCATAAATTTCAAATTTACATTCCACAATTCATGCCATGCTTCTAATTCAATGTTATGCCCAAAATCAATGGCCCACTTAATCATGGCTTCTTTTACCTCCTCATCTTTAGTATACCAGTTCAATAATAAATCATACATTTTTGACAGTGGTTTATTTTTACCTTCTATAATGTCTATATGAAATTTTGATTTCTTGTCCTCAAATCCCAACCTCTTTTTATCTTCTTTTAGTATCTCACTAACTTGGTGGTACTGTAACCACACTGTCAGTAAATTCTCTACTTCTTCATACACCTTAAGCTTTATACCTTGATCAGTTTTTCTAATAAGCTCTTCATATGTGGCTCTCTTTCCTTCCATGTTGACTTTCTTAATAATTAATACATCTGTTGGTGATATCCACCAAGGTGTTTTCCTTTCTAACAGATTTTTATTTCTTTCCCATACTTCATATAAAGGTCCTCTAATTATATGATTTAAAAAAAACCCTGTGGACTTTCACTTTATCATACCACAGGTACAAGTGCCACCCGTACCTGTTGTCATATCCTTCTAAATCTAGAAGGTCCATATTTTCTAATTTTATCCATTCTCTTATCCAAATTAGGCACGCTGCTTCATAGTATATACCCATGTCTGGCAGGGCGAAGCCACCTCTTTCTTTTTTGTCAACCAGAATCTTCATTTTTATTCTTGGCCTCTTTCCCTGCCAGACAAATCTTGCCAATGTTTTCTGCCACTCTTTAAATTGTTTTGATCCTTTAATCACTGGAATTGTTTGGAACAAGAATAAAATTCCAGGTAAAACATTTATTTTAATCACTGATATTCTCCCTAAAAAAGATAGTCTCAGTCTGTCCCATATTTCTAGATCTTTCTTAATATCTCTCCAAGTGATTTCATAGTTGTCTTTATACAGGTTTATGTTTTTGCCATCAACCATATTCCTAGATATTTGACTTTCTTGACCACTATAATACCACTCTCTTGTTGCAGTTCTTCTATCTCTTCTTTACTTATGTTTTTGACTAACATTTTAGTTTTGTTCTTATTGAGTTTGAACCCTGCTACTTTGCTGAATTCTTCTATTATTTGTAAAGCTTCTTGTATACTTCTCTTTGGATCTTCTAGGGTTAAGACTATATCGTCCGCAAATGCTTTTATTTTAAATTCTTTGTATCCAACCTTGATACCTTTCACCTTTGAGGCTTCTCTCAATGTCTTATTAAGAACCTCCAGTACAGATATAAACAACAGGGGTGATAGAGGACCCCCCTGTCTGGTCCCCTTAGAGATATCAAAAGTTTCTGATACGTTGTTGTTTATGATGAGTTTGGCTGTTTGATTTTGATATATGGCTTCTATACCCTTTATAAACCCTTCTCCAATTCCCATTGTTTTAAAATTCTCTTTCATAAATCTCCAGGAGACATTATCAAACGCTTTCTCCGCGTCAATGAAAATCAAAGCCGCTTGTTTATCAATTCTACTTTCTAAATATTCAATAATATCTACTACAATACCTGATGATACCTTCAGGCACAAACATTCCATGTAGTTTTGCCCCAGTAAGGTCCCAGTTAAGAATGTCCTACTGGATATTTGTAGCATCGCTGCCCTTATGATACCATCACACATCACCCCAATCTCTGAGAGGTGAGAGATTCCAGGGGTTCCAGGTGCTTACCTAGGGTTCAGTTTCCTTAGCATGCGGGACAGCAGAGACTGTGGTGTCTTTAGGATACAGTCGTATCTTGGAAGCCAAACAGAATCTGTTCCAAAAGTCCATTTGACTTCCAAAATGTTCAGAAATCAAGGTGCAGTTCCGTTTGGCTAGAGGAAGCTCCTGCAGCCAATTGGAAGTTGTGCTGGGCGTTCGGGTTCCAAAGAACATTTGCAAACCGGAACACTCTCTTCCAGGTTTGCAGCGTTCGGGAGCCAAAATGTTCAACTCGCAAGGCGATCGTCAACCAAGGTATGACTGTATATTGTTTATTGACACATATATACAACCTGAGCCTATAATGGAGGGGCTCACAGCATCAGCACCACAAAAGTCCTCGTTAGTATAGTGGTAAGTATCCCCGCGTGTCACGTGGGAGACCGGGGTTTGATTCCCTGATGGAGAGAAGCGCACATTTGTGTAATCTCACTGTATACAAGTTGTACAAGTGACAATAAAGTATTTCAAAAGGGTCTTGCTTCTCCCATAGACACAGCCTTGGAATCTTGTTGCTTTCTCTCTAGCTGCTTCCTGCTTCCAGCTCACACAACACCTCTCTCCTTTTGTGTTTCTCACCACCAGCCAGGTGAGGGTCCACCCATTTGCCCTCTGGCACAGAGCAACCTCTTTTGTTATACTAAGTACTTAGGGCCATTAATTCACCAAGAAAGATGCCCAGCTATTTCAGTAATGGAATGCTCCATGAGATTGCTGGAGCCAGGACCTCAGAAATTAGAAGGGACTCAGGCAACATACAGATCAGCCTGCCAAACTCACAACAACCAGCCCCGTAAGGGGCATCTGCATATTCCTGCATTGCAGTGGGTTGGACTAGATGATTATCAGGGTCCCTTCTGTGGGATGAAAGCACCCAAGTAAATGGTTAATGCTCACAAGAGCTCTGTGATGTTTCCCATCTGAGGCAGTTATTACAGTTGGTACATCAGTGGCAGTTATGATCAGTCTTAACAGTTAGAGCAGCAGCTATGTTTCGTTGTGCTGCTGCTGTCTGCCTCAGAGTACTAGTCTGTAGCAGTTTTGTCTTAGGTACGAATCTATGTAAGATGTATTAGCAACGTAAGGTAAAGGACCCCTGGATGGTTAAGTCCAGTCGAATTTGACTATGGGGTGTGGCACTCATCTCCACTTTCAGGCCGAGGGAACCAGCGTTTGTCCACAGACAGCTTTCTGGGTCATGTGGCCAGCATGACTAAACAGCTTCTTGCAGGACACTGTGACAGAAGCCAAAGTGCATAGAAACATCATTTACCTTCCTCCCAGTGGCGTAGCGTGGGGGGTGCAGGGGGGCCAGCCACACCGGGCGCAACATCTGGGGGGGGGCGCGCTCGCACTAGCAGCTCTCTGCCCCTACCTGGCTCACTCAGGGTTAGGGGGCGCAAATTACTTGCCTTGCCCCGGGTGCTGACAACCCATGCTACGCCACTGCTTCCTCCCACAGCAGTACCTATTTATCTACTTGCACAGCTATGCTTTCCAACTGCTAGGTTGGCAGGAGGTTGGGACAGTAACACCAACCTGAATTGTATATTTTTACTTGCAAATCGCAAGCACACTAAGTAAAAGTCACATTATTTTAACTTTAAAAGAGAGTGAATTACATTGTTCTTATAGAGGTAAAAGGGAACTAATTAAAGAGTTAAATGACTAGGGCTCTCTTCCACATAACTCTTTAAATGGAAACTAGAGTTTAATTCCCACACCTTCCAAATCTACAGTTCTATAATTCTATAACATCTTCATAACATGACTTTCCAGGAAAGGGGCCTCCTTAAATATTAGAAACATTTGTGAAAATTCTGGGGACAGTAGTTGTGGAGTCTGTGAGGCGTGTCTTTGGCAGGGGGAGGAGAAATGGGCATCTTCGATAAGGGTTTGGGGTTCTTGAGGAAACTGGACTGTTTGATTCACTTTTACAGCCATAAGAAATGGGCCTGACTGCCCATTAAAAACAGCTCCCTCCCCATTTGTTATTCCCAGCAATTGGAATTCAGTGGTGCTGTGGCTCTCATACTGGAGGGTATACTGTATAGCCATCGTGATATAGCCCTTGATATCTTTCTTGACATCATTAATACCCCCCATTAACTTTCGTAATCCCCTTTTAAAGCCCTAGCTAGCATGGCCAACGGTCAGAGGTAATGATATTTGCAGTCCAACATCATTGTGCACAGGTTGTTGTCTACACTTTTTACCTACTAATAGTAAACTTGCTCTCTGAGTGTGGATGCATATGTAGCCATCTTTACACAAGAGCAGGTATCAATAGGGATGGGAAAACCACAAGGCTTGCCGAAGTACATATGTATGTATGTATGTATGTATGGGTGCTAAAGGGGTAACAACAGCTCAATGAGCATGGAATGCTGACTGATGTAAAGGGGGAAACTAAAAAACTAGAGGGAAGGTAATGGATTGGAGTATTCTGATAAGGGTGCATGGTTGGCAGGCCTTCCTCACTGCAGCACTGGGCAGGATTCACCTAATCTACTCCATAAATTAAAGCCTGCTCAAGAACTTCCTCCTGAACAAATGGGGTTTCCCCTCCTCTCCCCCCCACCCCATTACACAATTGGCCCTGTGTGGCTCAGGGAAACCTCCCCCGCGCCAGCACAATGTACAGAGGAAGGAGAGAGATAATCATTCTGCCTGGCAAGATTAAATGCTTGCACAAACAAGGGGATGTTGAATTCCTTCCCTGGTTTGAAGATCTCACTTAATTCTGCTTTAAAAAACCACAGAGTCTAGGAGAGGAGGTACAAATGCTGCTGTTTTGAGATGACCTAAGAGATTGTGGGTGGAGGGGAGAGAGACATTCGAGGAGCTATGCTTGCAAGTAACATAATGGCTCTTTCTCATCCTTTGTGGTTTGTGCCTGCTGATTACTTAATACACCTTAATCAGAGTCTTGAGACTGAAGGAACTGGGGCTTTTAACATCTTGGCATGTCTGACAATTCCACTTATTCCTGCTGGCCTTTGAAAGGCCTTCTTTCTACATACAAACACTAAAAGCCTGCTTTTACTCCCTCTTTCCAAATTGCTTTAAATTGTTGATGGTGTTATGAGTTTTTTGGGGGGAGGGAAGGCTGAATGCCTGGGCTTGATTGGGGCTCTCCCTCCTGCTTTTCTAACTTACCTGGGGTGTGTTGTGCTATATCCTGACCCAAATCTCAAGGCCCCAGAAAGCTAGTGCTTCTTCTCCATCAGGAAGGTGGTCTTCTATCTGTCCCTTGGAGGTGTCTCTTTCGCAAGCTTTCACCTCCCTCCTCCCATAAGAATATAACAAAAGGAGCCAAGGATCAGCTTGATCAGGCCACAGGAGGGGCATCTAGTTCAGCCTCCTTTTCTGACAGTGGCTGACAAGCAGAATTGGAGCTTCTTCCTCTTCTTCTTTGGCGATCACTCGTAGCCGGGTCTTCCATGAACATGGTCTTAACAGTGAGTCCGTTAGTGACTGTGGAGGCCAATTCTGGATGCACACATCCTTCCACCATGGGGACATAGGTTTCCAGGCAGCAGCTGATTCATGTGAGGGTTTGCCAAACGTGTCTTCTAGCTCCTTTAGCTAATTTCTCCCTTTTGTCCTGAGTTCAAGAGTCTTCAAAGTCCATGACACCTTTAGTAAAGGCTGTTCTCCAATTGGAGCATTTGCAGGCCAGTGTTTCCTAGTTGTCAGTGTTTATACTACATTTTTAAAGATTTGCCTTGAGACAGTTTTTAAGCCTCTTTTGTTGACCACCAGCATTTCCATTTTTAAGTTCGGAATAGAGTAGTTGCTTTGGGAGGCGATAATCAGGCATCCGAACAACATGACCAGTTCAACGAAGTTGATGTTGTAGAATCATTGCTTCAATAGTGGTGATCTTTGCTTCTTCCAGTACACTGGTATTAGTTCACCTGTCTTTCCAAGTGTAAAATTTTTGGGAGACATCATTGATGGAATCTTTCAAGGAGCTGGAGATGGTGTTTATTAGTGGTCCATGTTTCACACGCATACAGTAAGGTTGGTAGTACAATAGCTTTGTAAACAAGCATTTTGGTTTCCCTGTGAATGTCCCAGTCCTCAAACACTCTGCACTTTAATAGGAGAAAGCTGCACTCGCAGAGCTCAGGCGATGCTGGATTTTGGCATCTATGTCAGCCCTTGTGGAAAGATAACTGCCCAGGTACAAGTGATTGGCACTTTTCAATGTAACACCATTGAGTTGGATTTGTGGCACTGCAGAGGGGTTGTTTTGTGTTTGTTGGTGCGGCACTTTGATTTTTTTGGATGTTGAGTGATAGCCCATGCTTTTCATAAGCTTCTGCAAAGATATTTAGGATAGTTTGGAGGTCATCCACTGAGTGTGCACACACTATGTTGTCATCAGCATACTGAAGCTCTATGATGGAAGTTATGGTAACCTTACTCTTTGCTTTCAGCCTACTCAGATTAAAGAGCTTTCTATCTGTTTGATATATGATTTCTACTCTGGTGGAGAGTTTCCCTTCGACAAAGTGTAGGATCATGGCAATGAAAATAATAAATCTATTTTAACACCTGTTGGAGCACAACAGCACCAGCCCTCTCCCCACCTGCAGTTGTCTTGAACAGGTGTTATTCAGAGGTATTTTGCTGCTTCTGACCCAAGAGGGGGGAACCTCTCTCCTGGGCTTTGTCTGACTTTCTGCCCCCCACCTCTCCTTCCCAGGAAGCCAAGAGCAGCCCTCAGTGACACCTGAAATGTACCCTTTTCACAGAGAGACTGTGGCTGATACAGCGCCCTCAACTGCTGGAGAAGATTATCAAACACACTGTCTATCCATCTGTCATCTATATCTATCTATCTATCTATCTATCTATCTATCTATCTATCTATCTATCTATCTATCATCTATCTATCTATCTACCTATCATCTATCTATCTATCTATCATCTATCATCTATCTATTATCTGTGCATCTGGGTAGGAACATAAGAAGAAGCTGCTGGATGAGGCCAATGGCTCATCTAGTCCAGTATCCTGTTCTCACAGTGGCCGAAGAGAAGTCTATGAGGAAAGTGGAGCTGGGCTGCACGTGTTAGGGAGCTGAATTTCTATTACTTAAAGGTTGTGGTGCTTTGTAACTGAATTGTCTAAATGTTGCGCTATTGTGAGATGCGTTGATGAGGGGGACTTCCTATGGAAAGTCAGCACAGAAATGAATGATGATGGGGATGATGACACAGTGTGTGTGTGTGTGTGTGTGTGTGTGTGTGTGTGTGTGTAAGCTCACCCATCCATTGCTATTAGCACCTTGTACCTGTAGGGAACAAGTCTGTCTTCTTCAAGAGTCAGCTTTCATATTCAAAAACAAGGGTCGCTTTGCATTCATTACTGCTGCTGCCAAATGGTATATTGGGTGCCGTTTTGTTTGGAAATGCATTGTGGTTTCTGTTTTGTGTCACCTGTGGGGCTTGTAGCCGGGGCTGCTACAACAAATAGCTGTGTAAGCCTTTGGGAGGCAGAGACCTGAGAGGGCATCAGAAGAGGGAGGGAAGGAAAGAGGGACAGAGGCCAGTGTTGCCTGAAGCACCCCTCACCATCATTCAAGGCACCCCAGGGTGCCAGGCACACTACTAGTTGAAAACCACTGCAATAGAATGTTAAGAGATACATTGCAGCAAGGCTCACAGCAGGTAGTGGTTTCTATTGCTTATAAAAACTGAACACTTTAACTTTACTTTTAAAACAAATAAAGTTTGTATTTCTCAATGAAGCCTTGTATAACACCATTTGCTATTGTACAAATCATGTTTTTTGAACTTGTAAGTCGTTTGTGCCCAATGTATTATGAGAAAACTAATATTGGCCATGATTCCCCAAGCATGATTCCCTCAGGGGAAACGCCTGAAGGGTTTTTCTTAGGTGCTTTGGGCACAAACCAGTATATGTATTGATAAAGTCTCACAAATAACCCCACAAAAATTGCAAGCCTACCTGCTTGTCTGCATGTGGCAGTATAAGTAACATCAACAGCCAGAGAAAATAAAGAACTAGCCTTGATGTTGCTGGTAAACTGCTGATAACAATAATTACTATTTAGAATGTTTAGTAGAACAGGTTTTTGAAACTGTATATGTTAAGCATGGTTGAGGAATAATATTGGATTAGAATGGTTTGATTTTGTAATGCATATTAATAAGAAAATGAATAGTATAATGCTGTCATCTCACTCTGTTGCTTTGTGGAACTTATAGGTGGTTTGGTTTGGGGTTGTTTTTTCCCCCTGTAGTAACACTAAGAATAACAACAGCATTTGTTATCTTTCTACTGCATTTTGTAGATTATTTTCTTGTGTGACATCTGCTGTGCCTATTGGTCTCTGAGTTTTATCTATGCTTTAAATAAATTTCAGAATTCTATTTATGTTTCCAGTTCATTTCTTTGCCTGTTTCCATGAAATACACACATACACACAAAGCATGCATGGGACTGCACCCCTCATATGGCAGGATTGTTTCACTTCTCTTTCCTAAGGAATATTTGGCTGCAACCTTATGCTCTTTGGAATAAGTCCCATCAAACACAGTGAGCTTGCTCCATCCAAAAGGCTGCTCTGAAAGTTTTTTGGTCTAGTGATTTCATCTGCCCTTTGAGACATTTTCAGGGGGAGGGGGGCTATTCCTCAGTGTCAGAGCACCTGCTTTGTATGCAGAAGGTCCCAGGTTCAACTTTTGGCTTCTCCACTTTGTTTTCTTAAAAAAAAAAGCAGGAAGGAGGTGATAGAGAAAACCTCTGCCTGAGAATCTTAGTGAGATGCTGCCAAGCAGAGTGAAGAGAACCAAGCTAGATGCTCATATAACCTGCAGTATCTTCATCTAAAGCAGCCTTTTTGTTCTCATCATCTGAGGTATCTACCTAGATTCCTTTTCACAAATATTGGAATATTGGAACAGAGTAGTTCACTAACCTTAGTTGTCTAAAAGATCTTGTCCAGTTCTCTGCGTGGGGGTCAGCATAAGCCCGCAGCCAGTGCCGTTGTTGCTGTTCTTATCTTAACTCAGAGCCAAAGAGCATCCTTTTCAAGATGTCACGTGGTGCTTTTATTCATTCCGGAGAACAGAAGCAAACCACATGAGGATGATGGAGAGAGAGCAGCATCAAGTTGAGTGATCACGTTTGAAACTATCTTGTTACAGGCCCAGCAGTTAGCCTGATTCGGGTTCTCTGTAAATGAAGTGAGCAGACGGCAGACACTGGCTCAACATTAGCTGACTCCACTTTGATTAACAGATTCCATTACTGCAGATATGGAATCTGAGGACACATGCTATTGAATGTCTAAAGATGCTGCTGCGTTCATCTTCCCATTTTGCTTTGCCTGCCTCAAACACAGGTTGCACATCGATCTTCCAGGTATGGAGACCTATTTCTGTTCAGCCCACTCGTGGCCATTGTGCTCTCCAGTCAATAAGCATCAAGCTGGTCAGTTGGATACCCCAGGCAGGCAGATGGTATAGCCTCAAAGTTGGGCCCAGCCCAAGCCACCACAAATCACACTGCCCTAAATGCTCTGTGTCTTCCTTCTCCCTAACACCACACCATGGGCAAATAAATATTATTGCCAGAGTGCATGGATCTGAGGACAAGGCACTTTCCTCCAGAGCAGATTTCAGAAAGATTTTTTAGGAACTTATTATTGTGGGATATGTGAGGGTTGGACAAGACAGAGTTATTATTCTAATTCTTATTACATTTATTTATTACCCACCCTTCATCCTAAAGTCCCAGTTAAACCTGCTGGCCAGGCCTGACCTAGCACATCATTGGAGCATGCTTCCTGGAGGGATGGCTTTATTTATTCCCTAGGAAAATTGTAGATCCCTGTTATGTACTGAGTTGAATAGGATCCAAAATGCACCAGTCTGATTGGTCCTAGAACAATAGGATTCAGAATTCAGCAGTCTGATTGGTCCACAGGAGCCACCCAATTCACCTGCAGGTGGAAGTGAATCCACAACCTGATTGGCCTACATGAGAATCCCAGAATTAGCCAATCACATGGGGCCCATTGTGTAAATAATGTATATAAAGCAGACATTCTGGGGGAACTACCATTCCTCCTCACCACTATGAGCTGAATAAAGAGCATGAAATCCACTCTTGACTTTATTTCAATCCCAAATATTTCAATCCCAAAAGCTAGCAGGTCACACTCAGCCACTCTCTCTCTCTCTCTCTCTGTGTGTGTGTGTGTGTGTGAGAGAGAGAGAGAGAAAGAGAGAGGGATCTCCTCACCCTACTTAGGGTGGAAAAGCTTCACCAATGGACACTGATTCACATTAAAAATGCAGGTGCTAATTGATATATATACTGTAGATGTAAATTAAGAAATAATTGCTATAATTTAAAGAGAAATCCAATGATTTCAACCTAGTGGGGAACACTGAGGACTTGTGAGCCTGTTTAGTATGCTGATCAGGTGTTCAGGGTTGATGAGGAACTTCAAGGCCTCTGCTCTTGATGTTTAAACTTGCGGCTCTTGATGTTTAAACTGGACTATTACCAGACAGTCCTTGAGAAAGTGGTGGCTGGTGCCCACTGGTAGGGCAGAAAGCAGGAAGACCAATACCTGGAGGAGCCGGAGTCAATGGCAGGAGGAGTCAACTGATGCTAGCCCCCCCCCCCATCCTCTTCCCTATAGGGTTCTTCAGTTCCAACACTTAGAGTAAGTAAAAGAAGGAAGGTGAGAGCTGGTGCCGCCACTGGACCAATGTAAGAAAAAAAGGAGGCAGGTGGGGTCTGATTGCAGATAGATCAAGGTATTGTGGATGTAATGACCAAAATCTGCATTTTATCTTTTGAGGTGTGTATGCTTACATGTAATTTTCACTTAATTGCATAGTTTTCGGTTTTCAACTTTGTTTTTGTATGTCATCAAATTCATAGAAATAAGTTTTTCTGCATCAGCTGAAAATGGTATCTATATTGATATTATTATGAATATAAGAGGCTGAAAAAGTAATCTACTTTCCCCTCATGGGCTGCAACCTATCACCAAATCCAGAATTAGCATAATCAATGAGGACGTACGGAGCCCCCGGTCGTCTCACGGACTATTGACCCGTACACCACTAATCCGCTGCCACCAACCAGGTCCTCCCTGGTAAAATTACTTCAGTCTCTGTCAGCTTCTCAATTAATAAAGAAGAGTGTGTTCTATTTCAGACACAAACAAAACTTTTACCGCTTTCCAAACATTGTTGCTCTTTACTTTCTTAGTCTTATTTTCCTCTCACTATCTCTTCTACCTCCCCCACACTCATGAACCCACTGCCCTAACTGTCTCTCTGTTACCAACTGCCTTTCCCAACCAGCCAACCCACTAAAACCAACCAACTACCCACCAACAACTCCCAACCAACTCCTCACAGAACTCCTCACAGACTCCACCCCCTGGGTCCTGACTGTGCAACCTAGTTAACTATTTCCCCTCCAGCACTCTCTCATATATGTTAACATCACAGATGCTACTCACCCCTCTCCTATTCCCTAAACCCTCTCACCAGTTGGTTAGAACATGGTGCTGAAAATGTCAAGGTTGCAGGGTCAATCCCCATATGGGACAGCTGCATATTCCTGCATTGCATGGAGTTGGACACGATGATCCTCAGAGTCCCTTCCAACTCTATCCAGCTTCAAATATCTCAAGGGCTGCCACATGGAAGATGGAGCAGGCTTGTTTTCTCCTGCTCTGGAGAGTAAAACCTGAACCAATGGATTCAAGTTACAAGAAAGGAGATTCTGACTCAACATCGAGAAGAACTTTCTGACAATAAGAACTGTTTTACAGTGGAATGAACTCCTTCAGAAGACGATGGACTCTCCGTCACTGGAGATTTTAAAGCAGAGGTTCTATGGACATCTGTCATGGATGCTTTAGTTGAGCTTCCAGTATTTCATGGGGTTGGACTAGATGACTCTATAGTTCAATGATTCTGATTCCTCTTTTCCTTCTCTCTCTTGAACCATGTAAAGCAGAACCACCACTACTCTATTCATCCAATGTAACAGTTATGCTTTTCCATGTTGTGTGTTAAAAAGCTCAATAAAAATATTTGGGGCAGGGAGGGAAGTAATGTGTTTCCACTGACATGGATCAGCTTTGGGAGTCATTCTTTGCTTTCATTTAATGCATTTCCCCAGAACTGGAATGGCTTATTCTGCCCTATCATCTGTAATGAATTATTTTATGTGATTTCTTTTGAACTGTTGATGATTGCTCTCAAGGGCTATTAGAGGTTCATTTGGTTAATAAGTGTAATTCTATTTGCATCTACTCCGAAGTAAAGCACATTGTTCTCAATGGCGCCTGCTCCCAAATAAGTGAGTATTGGATTACAGCCTAAGATGTTTTGATTAGAGGTGTGTCAAACGTTCCAGCTGAAATCTCTGGGCAATATAGTGGAGTCTGGGACTGATGAAAAGGGGAGGGTGCAGAGAGAAAGATGCCATGGGTTTCTGTGGTCCAGATAAATTATTCCAGATTTTGAGTGCTGTTGTGCTCCACTCTGCTTTCTGGCTTCCCATGGGGAACTGGTTTGCCACAGGAACACAGGAAGCTGTCTTATACTGAGTCAGACCATTGGCCTATCTAGCTCAGTCTTGTTTACACTGACTGGCAGTGGTTCTCCTGGATTTCAGACAGAAGTCTTTCTTATCCCTACTTGGAGATGCCAGAGATTGAATTTGGGACCTTCTGCATGCAACCACTGAGCTCTGCCCCTGTCCCAAAGAGTTCTCACCTTTTACCTGATGTACAGTAGTAGGGCTCTACTCGTGTTCCCTTCTTGTCCACTTGGAGGCCATTCTTTCCATTGTGTGGAAAGATTCTGCGGATCATCTCAGGTCCTGATCCAAGCCTCCAATGAAGAAACAGACCTCCCAGAGTGAGGGGAAATCTTGGAAACAGATGGAGCCCCCAACTCAGGCATTTACCTGAAATATCTTAATATCCAGGGAGAAATCTTACATTTCCTGGTGAGAGTAAGGAAGGAGAGTAAGGAAGAGATCTTTATTGAGGAAGAGAATGTGACATGTTAGCATCCAAACTGCGTATGTAAAGGGTGAATTGCAAGAGCTGTGGAACTCTGTGATGTCATACGCCTGAGGCTGTTATGGCAGTTGGTACAGTTACGGCAGTTAGTTGAACAGTCTTAACAGTTAGAGTAGGGACGCGGGTGGCGCTGTGGATTAAACCACAGAGCCTAGGACTTGCTGATCAGAAGGTCGGCGGTTCGAATCCCCGCAACGGGGTGAGCTCCCGTTGCTCGGTCCCTGCTCCTGCCAACCTAGCAGTTCGAAAGGACATCAAAGTGCAAGTAGATAAATAGGTACCACTCCGGCGAGAAGATAAACGGCGTTTCCATGCGCTGCTCTGGTTCGCCAGAAGCGGCTTAGTCATGCTGGCCACATGACCTGGAAGCTGTACGTCGGCTCCCTCGGCAAATAAAGCAAGATGAGCGCCACAACCCCAGAGTCGGTCACGACTGGACCTAATGGTCAGGGGTCCCTTTACCCTTACTAACAGTTAGAGAAGCAGGTATGAACTGTTGTGCTGCTGTCAGTTTCATCTATGGAAGATGTTTTAGCAACTTAAGTATCGCCTCCCTGCATTATATATTTAATCTGCAACTGCAAGTTCACTAAGTAAAAGTCATATGTTATTTAAACTTTAAAAGAAAGGGTCTTGCATAGTTTTTTTATAGGAGGGAAGAGAGACCCAATTAAAGTGTCAAAAGACCCAGGGCTGTCTTCTGCATACTCTGCAAATGGGAACTAGAGTCATACTTCACACAGAGAAGAGATACAGGTTCAACAATAGGTAAAGAGTCACTGCAGCTGCTATGATCAGACGGCAGGCTAAGAAGCAGCAGTCCAAGTTAAAGGAGTTTAAGATCAGGCCAAGGAGTTCAGAACTGCACCCACCCGGTTATCTGAAATAAATTCATGGAATTCAGAATTTCTGAAAAATGAAGGCAGCACATTTTGGCCAGAGAATGGAGTTCTGAAGGTAGAGAGGCACTTCTGGCTCAATACTGTAATAGTGCTACTGCTTCATGGTAATGCTGCATCCTTCGACTAGAATCTAGATATCTCTGGTTGTATTAGGGCTAATGCTGAAGCCCTCATGCAAGAATAGTTAGCAAATGACTGTTGCAGCACCTAGTGGCAGGACAGAGCACTGCCTTGAAAAGGGTATTTAGAACAGCATTGTGAAGAATGGAAAAAGAAAGCATTATTATTGAGAGGATGCACTTTTAAACAAACAATTCTGTGTAGTTGCATGCAGTATTGGGGTATCTACTGCATACACTGGCTGTGTAAATGGACACTTAGAGCTTTTCCATATGTGAATGTCCAAAACTGCCAACAACTGTAAGCAACTGCTTCAACAGAGCCAAGAGTAAATACCGTATTTTTTGCTCTATAAGACTCACTTTTTCCCTCCTAAAAAGTAAGGGGAAATGTGTGTGCGTCTTATGGAGTGAATGCAGGCTGCGCAGCTATCCCAGAAGCCAGAACAGCAAGAGGGATTGCTGCGTTCACTGCACAGCGATCCCTCTTGCTGTTCTGGCTTCTGAGATTCAGAATATTTTTTTCTTGTTTTCCTCCTCCAAAAACTAGGTGCATCTTGTGGTCTGGTGCATCTTATAGAGCGAAAAATATGGTAATTTCTCAAAGCTTATCTACGTTGGGAAGGCAGCACAAGGGTTGGAGGCTGTGTGTGGAATACCCTCCAACATCCTGGGGACCAAAATCAGGCACTCATTTTTTGGTCCCAAGCTTTCGTGCATGCATGAGAGCACAAGACAAAAGATGGTCATTTTTCAGTCTTGCGGGACCTAAAAATAAGTGTCTTTTGCTCTTGCACACCCCAGCTGACTATCAAAAGAGTGACTATCTTTTGGTCCAGTGCTCTGGTGAGAGCCAGTTGTCTCACACCAGAGCACTGGAATAAAAAATGGGACATTCTGGGATCCAATCAGAAGCCAGGACTGCCTTCTGTAACTCCAGGATGTCCAGCTTAAAACAGGACAGTTGAGGGAGTATGGGGGGCATTAAATTTTGACCTCACTCCCCTGCACCATGCAACAAGGCAGTATGTGACCCACACCTCTGCGCTGAAGTACTCCTGGTATGAAAAGTTGGGTTGCCCTGAACTAGTACATGAAGCAAATAGATACAACAATGCAGATAACTGTATAAAATACTTATGTACTGCATGGAGCTTGTCTCTTTCATATATATTACATGTACAATATTTGCAAACTTTGCACATAATTTTGCATGTATTTAGTATAAATTAAATAATAATAATCTCACATTGCACGAACAGCTCCAACATATATGAGCACTGTGTGCCACAAGCAGCGTGAGGAAATCTCAATCAGGTCAGCAGCACCAGATTCCATGTATAAAACAGATTCCCCCTCCATTTTTAATTTGCATTCTGTGGTGTTTGTATGGAGCCCCCGGTCGTCTCACAGACTATTGACCTGTACACCACCAATCTGCTGCCACCAACCAGGTTCTCCCTGGTAAAAAAAACTTAGTCTCAGTCGGGTTCTCAAGTTAACAATGAAGATTGTAGTTTATTGGAAACACAAATAAACTTTAAATGCATTCGAAATGCTGTTACCCTTTACCCTCTTAGTCTTATTTTATCCTGTCTCTAACTCTTCTACCTCCCCTCACACAAGAACCAACTGCACTGACTGTCTCTCTAATTCTGTCTGCCAACTGCTTTCCCAACTGCCTTTCCCAACCAACCAACCCACTAAAACCAACCAACCCAAACCTCGGGCTAAGCCCTTTTATAAACAGGTAGGCTCCGCCTCTGGCTTTTCTATTGGTCTACCTATCAACCCTTTCTCTCCCCCTGTACAGACATTTCCAATAGAACGGGCAAACACCACACTTTCCTCCATCATTGGGAGGGAGGCTTCTTGGCAGTGGCTCTTTTATTTCCCCATCATTCTCCAGACAGCACATCATTCCGGAGAGGAAAAAAGGCAGCTGCTGTTTTGTTTGTGGATGCCATCCATAAGTCTTATCCTGACCTGGAAGCAATAATGCTTCTAAATACTGGTTGCTAGAAATCATGGTGGGTGGGTTGAGAGTGCTCTTGTGCTTGGGTCCTGCTTGTGCGTTTCCTACAGGCATCTGGTTGGGCACTGTGAGGATCCTGGAATAGATGGGCCATTGGCCTGATCCAGCAGGGCTCTTGTTATGTTATTATGTCTCTATCTACTCTTGGAGGTTGGGGAAACCAATGGCTGCCCTGAATGGGTGGAGTTAACGCAGAACACTTTCACCTCCTCGAGTCTGCTGCACCATATAACCCCAGTGGCAGCGGCACACAGATTCTTTGTCCCAATTCTGGCAGGTTCTAAAAATGACTGGTTAATATTTATATCATATGACTGCTCTCAAGCTATCCGTGATTAATTATCAGAGACAGAACTTTCATGCCACTCAGCAACAACTTTTTCAATGTTGCCTGTTCACACATTCAGCTGAGTGTCAAGTGCTGAGTCCCTAAGAGAAGCAAGTGAAGTACAACCCATGTGTGAACCATCCCTTAGCTAACAAGAGAGAGGAGATTCCATGCCATCATGTGGCCTAAGAGTCCAAAAGTATGCCATCAATACATTTTTATTTTTGTTATCTGCCTTGCTTTTCAGCTCAACTTCAGAGGTTCTGCTGCTGCTGCTGTCAAGACTTTTGAGGCAGCTCAAGGGGCAAGCACTGCTGCACTTGAACCTTTCCCGGAACTCTGATGTCATGAAGTAGTAGAGAATTGGATCAAGGCAACAATTGAGGCTTGCGAGGCACAAAGAAATGGGATGGAAATATAAAGCTCTATGCCGTACAGAACAGTTTGTGACCATGTTTTGTTTCACCATCATAAATATAGGGAAATTCACATGATACGGTGTAAAACATATGAAAAACACAGCTGCGCACCCTAAGATCATGTGCCAAGCTTTCTGCTTCTCATTGGTGTGCTGCAAAGGACTGTGGGGCTCCTGCAGGGATTGCCTCATTTTCCAAGTGCAGTAAATGACTATCACAACAGGGGCCACAAATGCACAGAATTCAGCTACAATCACCAGAGTGATTGAGGCTCCCATAGACAACCGCTGAACTTCGAGATCAGCAAAGCAGATGTTGGTATTGTTTGATAAGCGAGGACTCCTCAGGATTGGGAGAGGTAAGCAAGCAGCCCCAACCACAGTCCATATGGCAGCACTTATGGCCACATCATACCTGCACTTCCAGTCCTTGGCTTTGAAAGGGTGAAGTAGGAAGAGGTACCTTTGGATGCTGATGCAGGTGAGAAAGCAGATACTGGCATACATGTTAAGGTATTTGAGGTAGAAGCAGAGCTGGCAAAGGAAGCCCCCAAAAGGCCAGCTGTGGTTGATGTAGTAATACATCCGTAAGGGCAAAGAGACGACGTGGGTCAGGTCAGCTACAGCCAAATTCATCATGAAAACTACCGCTTTGCTCCTCTTCTTGATGAAGTGGCACAAAACCCAAAGGGCGATGCTGTTTCCCAGGAGACCCGGAACGAAGATGATGATGTAGATGACTGCATACAAAGAGGCCTGGAAATGCATTGGAGGGTCAGGACAATTTTCTGATGATTGGTTGTTCAACATCTTGATCAGGTCAGTGGCCATATAGGCTAATCAGAAGATACCTGTTAAGAAGATGATTGTTTTTTGAGAAAGAGATTTATGCTGCAGCATTAAACACACACACTCAGAACTAGATCAAGACATTTTGGCAGCCGAAGAACAATAGTCAAATGACATCCTCACGCAGATTCACTAGGCATGCACTTTCACCAACTGACATGGAAGTGCAGTTTCCTGAGACCTTCACATCAGCAAGCTGCATTGACAGAATCACCAGAAAGAGAACAACCAATTTAGAAGGAGGAACTAAAAGCTATAAGTATTTTCATCAAAGCAACTAAATTCTCTTAATGTCAAGGGTGTGGTGGTGGCACTGGCTACAGACATTTTATAATATACTTCTTCAAATGTGCCTGCCTTAAATAATCTCCCTTCCTGTCTGATGACTCTAAGATTGTGTCATCATTCTCCACCCTGAGTTATAATATTCGGAAAGCACTGGGAAAGCACATACAGTAGCAGGAAACTGAGATCATGAGACTCTTGATCTCAGGGTTGTGGGTTTGAGCCCCACATTGAATGAAAGCTTCCTGAATTGCAGGGGGTGGACTAGATAATCCTTGTGGTTCCTTCCAACTCTACAATTCTATGATTCCATGATTCAAGTTGGGCGAAGGGTAGGGGCAATTCTGTCAGTTCTGGTTTCTCTCAGTAGCTTATTTTTCCACTCTTAAGTTCAGTTCTCCACAAACTCCACGTCAGTTTGTTGTTGTTTTTATTATTACTGTTATTATTAAAAATACTCTTGAGAATGTATCCCAGTGATAAAGAATCTTTTTCCACCCAAGAACTGCATTCCAAAACATCTGGAGGGAACTAGTTCAGGGAAAAGGGAACTAGTTCAGGGAAGGTTAGGAAAAAGTACAAATGAGAGCATGTTAATGAAAGCATGGGAACATACTTAGATCAGAGGTGGCTAATTTGTGATCCTCCATAAGTTGTTGGACTATAAGTTCCATTATCCCTAGCCATTGGCTATGCTGGCTGAGGTTGAAGGCAGTTGTAGTCCAAAGCATTGGGAAGCCAACAGGTTGGGAAAGACTGCAGTTGGGCATGGGAACTAAGGGTCAAAGGTTTCAGAGAGTATCTGAGTAGGCAGTACATGACAAGAGCATTGTATCCTCCAAAACCTGAGGCTCCCACAGTCACCTGAATCATCTGCCCCTAACTCAGGCCCTGGAAAGACTTCCTTCTCGTAATCTCTGTTCATGGACAGTACGATTGAGGTTGTTACAAAACACATGAAGAAGCAAGGTTTTGTAAATACGCCCTAAGAAGGAAACTATTTTCTAAAAGATAGAGTATTTTGGTCTCTGATTCTGGTGGTGGCTACTTTTCTATTTGTAGCTTCTGTTTCGTTTCCTCCTTGAAAATGTTTGCAGAATTAAAGATCACAGATAGTGGTTAAAGGCAGTTCATGCAGTGGTGCATATGCTCAATATACAAGAGGAAGCCTCAAGCTTCATATGGTTTGGATGCAGCAAATTGTAGCTTTGCGTGCAGAAGGTCCCAGGGTCAATTCCCAGCATCTCCAGCTAGAGATGGGAGAAAACTGCTTGCCCCAAACTTTGGAGAGCTACTGCAAACCAGTGGAGATAATACTGAGCTTAACGGTCTGAATTATTACAAGGCATTCCAACCCCTCTCCCTTTGCAAATAGTGGGCATATCCTGTACATTTAAAGCAGTATTAACAGGCATTGCGTCCCCCAAATAATCCTGGGAACAGGTGCTAAGAGTTGTTTTGAGGCCCCAATTTGTCTTGCAGAGCTACAATTCCCAGAGTTTCTTGGGAAGAGGGATGACTGTTAAATCACTCCATAGCCAACATTGCAAGAAAGTGGCATTTGAGAGTACAGATGAATGAGACTGTGAATTTCAGTATCTTTGTGGTCCCTGTGACCCTAAAGAACCAGTAACAGAAATAGTTGTAATAACCAACTAGGAATAGGGGAGAAATTAAATTCAGTTTACACTTAAAGATGAATCTCCCTCATTTGCACTTTCCAAAGTGATATGTTTGGAATCCAAACTGAAATGCATTCTTCCTTCAAAATTAGCGCTTCTCTGCATTTCACAATGCAGTTCCCCTGCCAAGTAATGCTAACCCAAAGTGTGAATAAAAATGCATATATTCCTGAGAATAAAATAAAAATGCATTATATTAAGTGAAATCTCTTTGCAAAAATGGTTATATTAGGCAAAATCACATACAACCCTTATATTAGGGGAAACTCCTTTGTTAAAAAATGCCCACAGCCATGTGCATATTAGGATAAATTCAATGATGAATATTCATAAGCATTAAAAAAAATCACAAAGTGATGTGTAAATGTGGAAAACTGAAGACTGCAAAATGAGAAACTGAGAGAAACTGACAGATTTGCCCATCCCTACAGTAAATAAAAACCAACAAGGATATTTCTCTCTCCTCTTCCTGCTCCGCCCCCCTTGTTCCTTTGAATATGGGCACACTCTTCATTTTTCATTCCTGTGGGTTTTTGTGTGGTTAAAAACTTTCCTCTTCACAGCAATATGAACTCTGAAGCTTCAGCGTTTTGATCCTTTTAACAACACATGGAAACATGTGTCATCGTGTCCCCCCACCCATCCACAGTTCATTTTCCAGACCCTAGCCACACCAAACTGAAGGCTACTTGTAACTAGAGATGGGTGTCTGGGGAGACTAGCAGTGCCAAGAATCATATGCGTCCTTCAGGAGGGAGCAGGCAGCAATAATAATGGCTGAGGGCTTTCTCAGAGTATCATTTCCTAAAGCTTTTGAGTGAAGAGGATCAAATGGGGGAGGTTGGGGTTGGGTTTTTTGGTATGCATGGTAATTATTATTACTTCCCAAACCTCTGCAAGTTCTTGCTCAGCAACAATAGGAAGCTATCTTATACCATGAGACCATCAGTCTATCCAGTTCAGTATTGTCCACATGGACTGGCAAAGACTTTAGGAAAGTCTTTCAGACAGCGGAACATTCCTAGGCTTACAAGGACATGCTAGGGATTGAACCTGGGACCTTCTGTATGCAAAGATGGTGGTCTGCCACTAAACAAAGACCCCCTTCCCAGAGATTACTGGGACATGGTCCCATAGATGTGTGCCTAAGACTGTAACTATAGACTTTAAATAATGCCATTGGCAGGAAAATATCAAACCAAAATTAAAAGTAATCATTTCAGTATAATGTGCTATGCTCCTCTGATACAAAATAAACAACATGAGAATCATTTATTGTCTCCAATTCAAATAGCTGTTGTAAAAGCATCTTTCTCAAAAATGTGCCTATTTATTATTCTATAAAGTTACATTTACCCTTCAAAGTATCTGCTACGTTAAGTAAGTCTTAAATGCTTCTGGCTTATCCATATCTTTAAAACAAGAAAGTTTTAGGAAATGGCAAAGCATCTGATCAACAAAAAAATCATTGTAAGGCCACATTGATCAGTAAGATTTGCTCAACCAAGCATGTGGTTGGTAATTTAGATTTCTGTACTGTATGGCATAATTTTGTGTCCCACACCAATGAAAAGGACTATCAACACCTTTATGAACCTTTTATTCAACTCTAAAGCAAGTCTAAGTTATGCAAAGTGTTGGACAACAATCTTGAACTGTACAGAGGTGATGTACTCAGGATTGGGAAGACAAATAAATATTTATACAAGGCTTTATACATTTATACAAGTCTATTGCTAGACCTTACTGTGTCTAAGCAATGCTTTGTACCTCTCTATGGTTATTGTTTAAATATTATTATGTATGTAGTGCTTGTTGCTTAATAATAAAAAAAGTTCTTAAATCATTTTTTCCTAGGCTGAAATCATTTTCCCTTTAAAAAGCATGCAGTCAGTCCATCAACACTATGGCTTACAGCAGATCCAGAACAACTCCGCTGAATTTGATAAAACTTCATTCTTGGAAAATATGCCTTAGTCTGCAGTTTCATGTGCTGACCCCTAGCCATGTGTACATAAATGTAAGGACCATTAGTTTCCAGGGGATTTGATTTGGCTGCAAGTTAAGTATGCCCAGGACTGTAGTCTTAGCTTTGCCAAAGGAAACATGCTTTTAAAAGACCCTCCCTTACCTCACTGCAGTTTCCATTCATTCTTTGACACGGTAGCAACCACAAGAAGAAAAGCGAGCGTCTTTTGGGTTTCTTTTGAGCAGATGCATCTTTTGAGCTTTACAGCAGCACCGTTTCCACCACGATCCAGATTTCTTTACAGGATCACGAGTTCTAAAACCGTCTTGAGGAATTGGGTAGAAGTGCTAGTGGTGTTCGGAGACGGGAGCTATGACTGTACTAAAGGAAATCCTGTATTTTGTTTCTCCTCCTCACTTAAAAAAAGACGCTCACACAACACAGCTTTTGGAGTCGAAACAAATCAACAGATGACATCACAGTGATATGTTTGCCAGTAGAGGAGTAGTTTAGCATGCTGGCTTTCTATCCATTCCTACTTCTTTGCATTCACATCCAATTCTACATACTGCTTCTATTTTACTGTTATGAGCTTAGTGTGGTGTAGTTGCCAAGCAGAGGTTGTATCCTATGTTAGTCATACTTGGATCAGACCCACACTAAAATTAATTCAGACACATTAATTCCAGTGAGTCCACTCAGAGTAGAATTTAGCTGGACAGACCCAAGGGGAGCTATTTTTGTTCGTTTGTTTTAAATTCCATGGTCGTACCCTGCCCTGATGCCACGTGGTAATGAAGAACGGGTGAAAGATATTGTGTTTGTTGAAGGAGCTTATTTGTATTACATAATCATAGAGTTTTAAGGGACCACAAGGCTTCTCTTATCCATCCTCCTGCTATGCAGGATATTTTCCCCCAATGTGGAACTCAAACCCACGATCCTGAGATTAAGAGTCTCAGGCTCTACCAACTGAGCCATGTCATTTCTGTTTTGCTCATTGTTTATGTTTTTTCTTTGATCAATAAAGCCTTTGAAGGAAAAAAAAGTGGTTAATGGTGTTTTTTTAAATAAATAAATAAATAATAAATACCTTAATAAATAAATGACCAGTAAGTTTAAATTTCAACAAGTCCAAGCTTTAGCTATCCTTAAGACAGTGTTCCTTCAGCCTATTTTTCATTTCCAAATCAGTATTATTAGAATAGAGAATAATAATTAATAAGTGATGCCTCTGAAAGGGTTTGTATTAATAGTAGCTAAAAATGTGTGAAGGGAGTCAGCATTTTATGTTTGAAATGTGCTGGAGGAGTGTGACAATTAGTCATTAGTGTGAGTTGAGTCATACTGCTGCTGGGTCATTTTTCAACAGTAGTACTTTATAGGCTGATGGTTCATACCAGTGCTACCATATCAAGCAGTTTTACAGCAACTGGATCCCATTAATGTACACACCAGTTTCATGCAGTAATTAATTGCTACATCATCAAAGGAACATTGCAAAAAATGCCTTATACCGAAACTGACTATTGGCCCACCCAGCTCAGTATTACTGTCCACAATGACAGGTGGGAGGTGTCCAGGGGTTCAGACTGGGGTCTCCCCCAGCCCTACCGCGAGATGCCAGGGATTGAACTGGTGGGTGCTGTTACCCTACCACCAAGCTATGGTTCTCCCCATCATCAACATATTCATCATCTCAAGGACATGGGGATTTGCTTACCAGATTCTTTTTTATTAAGAGAGAAGCAGTTCCCAGCACATTTGGGGAGTCTTGAGTTATATATTGTCCTTCAAAATGATATGAGTATGGATTTTTCTGCTGCATAGTAAGTGTGGACAGGAGTTTGGTCTTCAGGACCCACCCTCTTTATGGTAATGTGTATTACCTCATTTCCTGTGTGGTAAATTGGGCCAGTATTCCATTATCCACTCCACAACATCCAAAAGACAGCATGTCGTCCATTAGCATGTTCAGTCCTAACTGGGCTGTTTTTGACTCTCTTCCACCAATTTTTATTTATTTATTTTTGTACTCCTGCAAAGCTTATGCGTCCCCCAAACTTACTAATACCTCCCTCTAATGTGTAGATGCCCTGACTCCCTCTACATTCCTGGTTGCTATTTATTCTTATTATTTATTTGATTTATACACCACCCTTTATTAAAAGATCCCAAAGCAGTGTACAACATTAAGAACACATTTTATGGAGCATAATAATAAAAACACAACACAAAGCATAATAAAAGACAGGATATTAATACATTAATCACAATAATAGTTGTAGGGTTTGATCTTTGCTTTGAGAATTAAGAAGAGCTGGCAGATGTTGGAGTCAGCAGTGTGAAAATGCAGGCTAGCGTTGTTTTTATGGACCAGGGTATTGCTGGGAGGTGAGCTATTAAGGGGAACAAAGGCTGGTGATGGCCAGCCATCAGCTCATGAGGAAGTCATCAACAGGGCTAAGCCTGTGCGAGACAGGGAGGGGCAGGGCTCACTCTCCAGTGGTGTGTGTTACTGGGCAGGGAAAGAAAGGGTTTAGGGCAGGGGTCAGCAAACTTTTTCAGGAGGGGGCCGGTCCACTGTCCCTCAGACCTTGTGGGGGGCCAGACCCACCCTCTCCTGAAAGCACCCCCTGAAAGGACCCTCCCTCTCCGGAAAGGACTCTGCCGACGCCACTCACGCCACAGCCACTGACACCACCTCGTCTTTGGCAGCGTCGCTGTTGTCCTCTGCCCCATCCAGGGGTCTGTGGGGCGCAGAGCCCAGGCCGCTGGCCTGGGCGGTGGAGGCAGCCTCCCTACCGCTGCTGCTTCCTCCTGCTCGGCTCTTGGCCATATGCGGCTGCCTCAGCGGGAAGGAAGGGGCATCGTCCAGAGGCATCCGCAGTCTCAGAATGGTCACAGGAGCTTCCTGCAGCCAATCCAAAGCCACGCCAGCATTGCAGAAGTCAGCCCCTGCATAGCGAGGCCTCTGCGCCATGCTGGTTTAGTGCGGGGACTGACCAAGTGGGTGGCAGGGTCTGCAAGGTTCGCGGGCCAGATTGATGAGGCCGGTGGGCCACATCTAGCTCCCAGGCCTTAGTTTGCTGACCCCTGGTTTAGGGCAGTGGTTTTCAACCAGTGTGCCATGGCACCTGGGGTGGCTTCAATGATGGTCAGGGGTGCCGTGGGCAACACTGGCCTCCATCTCTCCTTCCTTCCCTCCCTCCTCTGATGCCCTCTTGCGTCTCTGCCTCCCAAAGGCTTGCACAGCTGTTTGTTGCAGCAGCCCTGGCTACAAGCTCCCCAGGTGAATGGCGCCTCTGGGGCTGGCCAGGGGGTCCTTCCCAGGCCGCTGTGAGGCAGTGTGAGGAGGCACCTCGCTTTGGGGCAGGAGAGGAGAAGCTCAGACACCAGGGACGACAGCAGCAACTGCCTGGAGGACTTCCAAGGAGAGGGGAGAGGAGAGAGGAGAGGAGGCTGAGGGAACACTCCTTAAGGGAGTGTGTTCAAAAATGGGTGAGAGGCTGCCAGCTCTGCAGGCAAGGGGTGACATAACTGGGCTGCTGAGCCCCACAGGAGTGCCGCAGAAAGAATGTCATTGGTCAAGGGAGCCATGGACTCAAAAAGGTTGAAAACCTCTGGTTTAACAACAGATTTGGATGGCATGCGTATTTATGGTATAATAAAGGGAAGGTATATAAAGGGTTTCATAACCACATAATTAGGAAATCACTCTTAAAAGTATGGGGAAAATATAAAGATTTATTAGAACAAAAGACCCCATGTTGGGTATCTCCATTAGAAGTAATTTCAATTAAAAAGATAAACAGGGAAAGAGAATGGCCTATATATAGGGACGTATTAGAAGAGAGAGAAGGGAAATTAAAGCTCAAGGAGTTAACGAAATAAAAGACTATGTTTACGATTGGCTGCAACATCGTCAAATAAATGAGGTTTTTAAAGAAGATAACAAGAAAGGATTTAGTTATACCATATCTAGATTCCAAAAAGAAATTATAGATGAGAATACTAAACTTCTAAAGAAAATGTATAATTTATTATTAGAATGGGAAACTAAAGATGAGGAGGTGAAAAGTGTAATGATTAAGTGGGCACAATACATAGGACATAATATACAAATGGGAAAGACTTGGAAAAGTTATGGAAAGTGAATCTTAAATTCACTGACTGTATACTGCTAAAAGAGAATTACAGTGGTGCCTCGCAAGATGAAATTAATCCGTTCCGCGAGTCTCTTCGTCTTGCGGTTTTTTCGTTTTGCGAAGCACGGCTATTAGCGGCTTAGCGGCTATTAACGGCTTAGCGGCTTTAAGAAAAAGGAAACACACTCGCAAGAACTCGCAAGACGTTTCGTCTTGCGAAGCAAGCCCATAGGGAAATTCGTCTTGCGGAACGACTCAAAAAACGCAAAACCCTTTCGTCTAGCGAGTTTTTCGTCTTGCGAGGCATTCGTCTTGCAGGGCACCACTGTATATGAAAATGATGTATAGATGGTAGATTACACCTGTAAAGATGGCAAAAATGTTTAAAACAGGTTCCAATAAGTGTTGTAAATGTAAAGAAAAAGAGGGTACATTCTTTCATATGTGGTGGAATTGTAAAGTAATTAAAAAGTACTGGGAAATGATTTACTGTATAATGAATTGAAGAAAATGTTTAAGTTAACTTTTGTGAAAAATCCAGAAGCTTTCTTGCTAGGCATTTCAGCTCAAGATTTGCCGAAAGAGAAGAAAAACTTTTTATGTATGCTACAACTGCGGCTAGGATTTTGCTAGCACAAAGATGGAAAGAGTGTTGAAATACCAGCTAAGAAGAATGGCAAGAATTGATGGGATGCACTGAAATGGCAAAATTAATGAAAAGACTTCGAGACAAGGAAAATAGAGACTTTAAGAAAGACTGGGAACCAATTATGTTATATCTACAGAATCAATGTAAAGAAATAGACTCACTTGCAGGGTTTGATTAAACACTTGCAACTAACAAAACTAATAAAACAAATGTAGAGATGGAAATACAAGGTTAGAATGATAAGAGAAGAATAATAATAATTATGTTTTAAAAATCTTAAAGAATAAGAAATAACCAATAAGCAGGGAGAGACAACATGCCAAAAAACTCAGAAAAGATAGTTGAGGGAAGTCATGGGTTTTTTTTTGTTTTTTGGGGGGCGGGATTTATACTCTATTTTGCTTTCTTACTTGAAATAATGATTGTGATGATGATAAAATTGTAAAACTCAATAAAATCATTTAAATAAAAAGAAAACCTCTGGTTTAGGGTTTCAGCTTGGATGATGTTGGCTAAAGGAAAGTTGTGGCATTTTGCAAGAGGCTTGGAAAGTGGTGGAGAAGAGAGGTTGGCAGAACTACTGGAGGGCTGGCTGCAGTGGTGGACTTTGGGCTCTCAGATTTCGGCAGTGTCCTGTGTGACGCTAAAAGTTGGCGCACACACACACACACACACACACACACACTTCTTGTGGTCCATTCTGCAACATCGTGACATATCCTGCAGCAGACTGCCCAGTGCAGCTGCACCATTCATGCTACCCTAAAACCACCTTTCTTGGCTGGAGCAGGCAGCAATAAAGGGACAGGCAACATGGCTGGTTCCTCTGTTTGCAACCTAATCCTGCTGCTCCTAAGAGAGGGGCAAAGACTCATCTTGAGATGTGAATGCTCTGAACCTTCTCTTCACTGTAGACACAGGTTGTATATATTCGTAAACAAACCATAGATCCTAAAGTCACCATATATCTGCCATGCCCAGAAACATGAACCCTGGGTAAGCGCCAAGACTCTGAAATCTCACACTACTCTGAGTCTGAAGAGGCATTTTACAATTTCAAAATAAGAGGCCTATGGGAACACTCAGTAACAAAGGGGGTGTTGGGTCCCCACAAAACTTTATTGGAGACCCGAGACCCCGGCAAGGGTTCCTGCCCTTGCTGTAAACAAAACTGAGCTGGAAGCATAA